TTTTACAATTCGCCAAAGAAGGGAAGGCCTATAGTTTTGTAAGGATTTATCTTATGGAAATTTGATTGGATCACTGAGGATCCATTTCCAACTTCGTGTTTCATCTCTCAGGCAGAGTTTTAGCATAGGCACGCCAGATGCTTCTGCTTGAAACTTACAGAAGCAATATGGCACTTCCGACAATTTTAGGATCTCATGCCAATCACAGAAGTCAACTAGCTTAGCTAATAGAATTTGTTTTAGGAAGAGGAAGGGGGCGGTATTTGAGACCTAGGACTCATCCCGTCTCCATTATTCCCTTTGTAATCCCAGTTAACCCAAAAAAATGTAGTATTTCATGTATATATTCTGTGATAAATATTGTAGTTCTTTTCTAGTCAGTTTTATAAAATGAGGTTTATTCCTTCAAAAATCAGGATTTATATATGCACATATTTATAGCCATCTGAACATTAATGAAAGGAGAAATTCTGCTATGCTGAAATCAGGATTTATTCAGAATATATATGCAGGATATGGAATTTGCAGGAAACTAATTACACATTACTGCTGTAACTATGTACAATTCTGTTTCTTATCTATATGCAAAGTTTGGCTACATTTCGGTCTCTGCCTTAAGGTATCAGTTTTTCATCTCTCATGTTATCTATCCAATACGAAATTGATTCTGATGCTGAATACCTCGTTTTGAAACCCAGGCGATCAGCTTTTGCTCGAGTTCCTAATAACTTCCTGGGGCTTCGAAACAGAATGTCCAAGCCTTGTCTGCCATAGCCTTGGAATACAGAAAATCATTGGAAAACATGTTTTCAGGAACGTCTAGGCCAAACTTTTTCCCTATCACCGGCCATATCTCTTTCCAAGTGAAACAAGCCCCGTTAATGGCATTAAAGGCTTGGCCATTGTTTGAGGATACTTGATCATCAGTGGAAGCCCAAATGTGTTGCTCAGCTACTAACCGAGCATCCGAGACATCAATACAAGCCTCTTCCCAACACTCCCTTGATCCTCCAAACACAAAAGGAAGATTCAATTGCTTACAAATACTTCCATAAACAGCAAGACAACCCATAAAATTATAAAATGTCCTGTTTGAATACCCTGTAATCAAACCAGGCCTTTGGACCGACCACGCTACCTTATTAACAGCAAGCCTCTCCTCAAGCAAATCTTCTAGTACATAATAGAAGTTATTCCCTATAGAAGCTCTAGGGCAATCCTCATCATATACCGCGATATCAAGATCTCTTAAACTAATTGGACTTCTCAATGAAACATAATGCTTCATACCTGTTTGAAGAGAAACATGCTTTAAGGACTTGGCTTTCGGTAGCATTGCATCCAACGCATTCGACAACATCTCTTTGTTTTGCTCACAGCATTCTGGGCTATCAAGGGGGAACTGATTAGCCCAAGTAACCCAGAAAATGTGAGTCACATCTTCTAAACAAGACAGCTTCTTTTGTGTATCCAAAGGACACAGAAGATCACAGGAAATGAAGTTGTAATCATTACTTGCCTTTTCTAAAGAGCTTATTTGCTCTTCTCTTCGCGCTATGCCATATACTGTCCACGAATATTTCGAGCTTAGCCTTCGAGCAAGCTCTCTCCCTACTAACCCCGTGACACCAAAAATCGCTGCTACTTGCTTCTTTGAAGCTCCTTTGTGATCTTGCTTGGATTTTTTCAGGGCCATTTTGATTTGTTTCTCAGAAAAAGGTGGGTGAAGAGGTTTATGTATGGTTTTTGAAGTTGTGTAAGAATGAGTTGTTATTCTGATTTGTAGGACTTGTTGTATGAGTAGGATCTCTATTTGTAGGCAATAAACATTACACTTGATCATTATTTAATCAATAAATATACTATTGGGAATATTATACTATTATGAAGTTTTTTTTTTTTATAAAGATATAAAATATTTTAGTACCTAATCATCATCATATTATTAATGGTTCTCCTATTTTTGAGGAATGAGATTTTCTGGAGATTTATAGACTTTGACTCTCTCAGTGAAGTTGAAACATTTTGTTTTGATTAGCAAACCAGTAAAGAACAAGAATTGGTTAATTTTCCACAAAATTGACTTAGTTGGACTCGAGATTGGCAACCTTAGCTATGTCCTTTATTCTAAAAAAATCCAACGCTATTATGAACATAATAATTTAAACTAGTAGTGTAACATAATAAGTCTTGAGTCTTGAAGTAAAGTCCATTAGTCCAATGCCAATGTCCAACACTCCAACTAAATGGTTGAAATTTGGAAGTAAGAAGTGTCATTCTATACTAATCAGTGACCCTAATTTTGTTTTCCGATAATCTAGATTCAACTTGACAAAACAATAAATTCAGCATTTTTTTATTCTCCTTCTCTTTGTGGCTGATTACAAGCCATTCAAAATTATTAGCAAGTCTGAGTTGTGAGGAGCAAAACCCCATAATACAGGATGTGAAGATGGGCAATTTGCCCCACAATTAGGGTGGATACAGACCATTTCTAGCAAGTTGAGCACCTCAAATCTTGCTATTATTTCAATTCCGATAATGAAAGGTATTATGAACAATACCTTATTTTTACCGATTAAAATTTATTTTTACTTATGTTACAGTGTCATACACACATATCATTAACAGTATTCTGATTAAAACAAGGAAGCCCCAATTCATCGTCATGATTACAAAAACCGTTTATCTAGTGACAATTCTGTAAATAAATCAACAAAAATATCAGTCAGCATGACATATTCGTAAATAAATATACATCTGTAGGCTCACATTAATAAAAAATTATTGAGTTATTTACAAAAATGTCAATAAATAAATGTTTTTTTTGTTTATCATGATAATAACCTTATATTTTCTCAATTAATAAACCCGACTTTTTAAAAGTGCTAACACAAAATCGGTATTGGCCCTCAAGTATAAAAGTACAAGAATAACTTTGTCCGTAGTACACTACTCTTAATGAAACTTTAGGTGAGGGTTTCCAAAACTTTACACTTTACAGGACAGCTTAATACTTTAGAGAACTTGATGGTTTCACACTGTTGTACAGCTTCTACTAGCTCATTTGTCGTTGTTTCTAACATGAGCAGCATGTTTAATTATCTTAATCTAGTGGCACAATTTGGCAATTTGGACTAAATTGACTTCTAAATACGTTGTAATTAACTGGTGATTTTTAACATGAACCTCATATGAAGCTTCCAAACTAGACACAAAGTGGATCATGCGGTTTTATTAAGATGTGAATTAATTATTGTTCATATTAAATAATCAATCAATCAATATAGTCATCAACACATGAACACAGTGAAGTAATTCAATATAAAGTAAAAATCAATAAATCATACAGTACTTTACTCATTGGCGGATCTATAAGGACTTGAAGGGGAGCACTTGCATCCCCTTTTTGCAAAATATTTATGAAATTCAAGGTAAGTTAAAAAAGAATCTATTTCATATACTAGTTTTTGCTCTCCCATTTTAAGTAAATTGATTCCTAAAAGATAAAATCAGACAATAGAAATTCTTAAGTTCTAAAAAATCATACATTTTCTCCATATAAAATGGTAAATGATATATTATCTCCGTTTTTTACACATACCTCCGTTTTTTAAATATTGCAACGTTTGCACTTTATACACTATTCTCACACTCTTCTGTAACCACATATTGTGATTATTTTTAGGTTAAACTTTAAAAATTTTGACCATAAATTACCGTTAATTTATAAAAGATAATATAGTAAAGAAAAATAGTCCCTTTATATTTTGTTAGACTCATCTTAATTATTGTTACTATTATTGTTATTATTGTATAATTAAAGTTTTTTAAGGGTTAAATTGTGCTTTGAGAAGCGTAATTACCCCCATATTGCAGTGTTAAATGAACGGAGGATGTATATAGACTTACATACTAAATGTGAATTAAAAAGTAAGAAAACCTCAAAATATTGAAACTTTAATATTAATCAACGTGATCCAACGTGATCCATATCTATTTGGGTTGTATAATTTAAAAAAAATTTGGACCCCCATTTTGAAATTAGCCACTGACTTTACTATTAGCGTGATCAAACGCCAATAAATGAATCATTTTATGTTTACAAATCAATAATGCATGTTCAAGAAGCCTCTATTACACAAATATACACCTAGAGGCTAGAACTGAACGATCAAAATCTTCACTAAATCTTTGTGAATTGTGACTATTTAGATTGTACACGCAATTTAATTGATTCACTTACAAATAATACAACTCATGCAATGTTCTTTGTTCTAGGAATATATCTTGCATAAACCAATTACATATACAAACGGGGCGACTTTAATTAAGCTACGATGGTAAATTTTGTTAGAGATCTTTAGTGAGGGATGACGTTCCGTAAAATATGGTCATATGGGGTGACATTCTATAGAGGTTTTAGGGCAACTAAGCTATCCGTTTTATCTGTTAACTTATGTCATTTTAGTGGTGCAACATAGAGCAACACTCGTTGTTGACCTAGGTCGACCTAGTATATAATTAACGAGTAGTCTAGTACCTTCTTACTCTTAGATGACACCTTTTAATTTGAACTGTCATTTGAAAGGCAGACAATTAGGAGGCAAGAATTTAACTTCCTTTAAATTAATCTAACCCAACTTTGAAGTTTATACTAATTTAATTGTTGTTATAGCTGGAAATATGGTAGACACTAATTTTTGAGACACAAAAGTTGCAACAATGTATTGCATGAGCAATAACTGCTCCTACTTCACGAATAATAATACTATAAGATGGGGTTTGGCTTATTCAATGTTCATCCACAAAATTATATGACCAAAAAATAATAATGTTTGCATTAAAAAAATTAGATGATGTAGCTCAAGTTTAAATCCTCCTGGCAATAATCAAGTCAAAAAACGAGTAAATTTATAGTTTATAATATATGATTAGTTGGTGTTATGGAGCTGCACTTACGTGCACTCTTTCCCATGGACTGCTATCATATTTAATAATTAACATTCAATTATTTATGCACATTATTATAAAACTGTAAATTGAATTAAAAAAAATAAAAAATATTTGGGATGATCCAACTCTTCTTATATTGGGCAACTAGCTATTATTATTAATTATTTGCTTGATTTGTTTCATTATTTACAAAAATGTTTTGTAAGAATTTGTGTTTCACTTATTGAAATCACAAAAACACACACACAAAAGAAATAAAAAAAAAATAAAAATCTAATCACTGTTTTCATTACCAATTAGATACACATTCGGAATTGGTTGTTCGGTCACATTCCGAAAAAAAGTGACTGTAAATCGCTTTAAAAGTTGGCTAACAACTAATTACCAAACAAGTCCTTTGCATATTTCTGAATTGTACCACTAGAGTATAGTTTAATACTAACAGAACCATTACTTATTTGATACCCTTTAAATCTTCAAGCTATACCCGCAGAATCAAATTATATCATCAGATAGATTACAACTTGCAACTCCAATGTAGTTGGCATACATTAAAATCTATAGAAGAAAATTTTCAGATTCGATATCTGTTTTCCAGGAATTAAAAAATTTACAAGAACAATCTTTTTATTTGAGACACCAGAGTTGACATCTCAAATTATCAGGCACCAGCAAATCCAACTGACGATATAAGCCCTGATCCAATGAGATTTGCTTGATCTAGCATGCATTTTTTAGAGAGCATATCAGTACTAAATCTTATGGAGTACTACCTAATATACAAAGTATTAACCAATAATATATTTCTCGTCCTATCTAGAATTAACAGAGTCGCATACTATATTTTATTGAATGTTTGGAAAGATAGACACGTTTTCTATAATAGTAATGGTTTATGATTAACTTTCCTGGATGCAACAACTAAAATAAATTGAGAGGAATCAAGGAAGATATGGATGACAGCCATTGTCAAGATTTATTTTGCAATTTTCTAATTTACATATGGTTTGCTTCTCGCTTGCCGTGCTAAAAAACTGTGGATGTTGTAGTGTACTTACCATCGTTATCGGTTTTATAAGGAAGGACCAAAAGGCTTGTAGCAATAACCGTGTAAAAAAAGAGAAGAACACCCCCTTTCATGTAATGTGATGATCCATCCTGTTTAATAGTAGCAGCTAGCAGTGTCTGAGTTAAAGCCAAAATCTTTGAAGAGAAAGAGAGATGCAATGAGACTAAAAAAATTGAATGATCAAAATAGATAATAAACCTGCAAAGTGAAGGCTACAACGAGTACTGAAACAGCAAAAGAAGCGGTTTCCAGGATGCTAAGGCTGAGATCCATCTTGATATGCATTATCCATGCAACAATCACACATAAGGGGACCTATAGTAGCAGGCTCTTGTATTAGGACTTCATTTTAATGATTTAGGTATGATACATAAAGGAATTGAATGTGGCCATTATTAACGTCAAAGTTTTTAGTGTTACCACAAATATTGAAATTTGGGTGGCAGAGCCCAGGGCAACTGCCAGAGATATATCCTGTCAGAGAAAAACAGCACATAGTTAACACAAAATTGTAATGCAAGTACTATATTTATCATGAATTTCAAGAGAAATGTAAATCAGTCAGGATCATACCAGCTTGTTCTTGTAAGCAAATATGATTGCACCTGCATGTTCTGCTGCATTCCCAACTATAGGAAGCAAAATTATGCTGAGGAAGCTAATGGGAATGCCCCAAGAGATGGAAGCAGCCTGTTTCAATGTAGGGGTTAGTTTTTGATTGGGCATAATAAACTTGAGTACAGAAGATGAGTGCAAGAGAAAGCTTCAGAGTGGTTTCGTACACATATGTACCTCAATTGTGCCAACAATATATTCAGAAAGCAAAGCTATCACTACTGTCATGCCTACCAACCAGCTAAATGCACTCCAAAAACCAATTATTGCCCTCCCATCCTCACAATTATCATCAGGTTCCTGCATATTGTTGCGTTCATCAGTCAGCAAAGTATTCAGGATTTTTAGACTCCTTTTATGTCTGTTGTACTCTTTTAGGGGCAGATAGTCCAGATACCACATGTTACAAACCAGGAGTTCTGTACAAAAAGCTACATACCAAATACATATAATAAAATCACCTCTTCAGAATCAAACAATTGTCGGTGGGTCTTCAGCTGAAAGAACAGATATGCAATATAAGCCACGAGCAGGACAATGCTGTTCACTCTTGACAGCAGGAGTATGGAGCTAGCAGAGAATGCCGTCCCTGCAGCATCCTCAGAATGTTGAGTAAACAATGGCAATGCATGACAAAGAACTCCAAGAAAGAGGAGAAGTATATTTACATCGGCTTGATTCTGTCATCAGAAAGAGAAAAGGATAATCATAGGGTGTTTAGGGGTAAGAAGATGTGAAAGAGCATGAATTAAGTTACTATGATATGCCAGCCTCACGCATTGTGCCAAATCATTAAAAAAAAAAAAAAGTGCAAATGGATTTCAATGTATTACTCTGTCAAATTTTTGCTCCTCGCTCATGTTGGCCAAGCCACCACAAAATAGAGAAGAACCAAGAACTAGAAGAAGGTTTGAAAGAATTGATCCCAGAAGAGAGTACTTCAGCACAGCTATCTTCCCTTGGTGGAGTGCGAATATAGCTATTATGAGTTCTGTTGCATTGCCACAAGTTGCATTTAGCAGCCCCCCAACTGTGAATTTCCAAATCTTATTAATTGACCAATTCAAGATAGCAAAATGAAGGATATAAATGCCAATTGCCATTCAGAGCAGCTAGTACCTGTTGAGCCAGTATAATATGCAATTTGCCTTGGATTTGACATGCAAAAGGAGACATGGAGAGAAAATGACAATCACATTATTTTTTTTGAATATCTATACTCTTAGCATATTGAAGCATAAATTCATTACAATTAAGTAGTAACATACTCGGTAAGAAAGCTAACTCGTTCCGCTAGAGGGGCAAGTCCGATTAAACTCAAAGCAAAGACCCAGGCCTGCTAAGATGCAAGATCGCAATGAACTAATTGTAAAATAAGTTTATGGAATGACAAAATCGATCAATAAATAAAATCAATACCTAATACCCTAAAATCGGGTTGGCTTTTATATGTCGTCCAAACTTTTATCTAATTTCTACCAAAGAAATTGCACTTACTCTTCCAAAATTGTGATATTCGGCCACTATAGCGAAGGGGATGGCCACAAAGAGAGCACAAATCTTGGTTCCAAGGATAACATCTTGAAGATTTTTCAGAATTCTCCTAACCAACAAAGACCTGATGTTCAACCCCAGGGCCACATCAGACTTTTTCCTAAGCAATGAAGATGACAAACTATGTGCCGTCTGGATAATTTTAGGCTCGTTGCTTGAGTCACTGACGATTCCATTTTCTGCATCCCATGCCTCATTGGAGTCCATATCCTTGATTATCCCTACACACTTACGCTATGTAAATATTAGACTAGCAGTATGTTTTTTTTTTTTTTTTTTTTTGACAATGAGGCGAGCATTATAATTTCTTGGGCTGTTACAATTGTTACAAATTACTTGGCTTGAGCTACTGTGATTGAAGAGAAGACCAATAGAGACAAACTTGCAGTTTCCTGGAACTTTCCTGGGGATGAATTTGGGTAAAAAACCTCATGACGATTGCAATTGGCTTTTCACAGTCTAAAATCCATTTCTTGCCACCGGATTCTCCTTCTCCTTCTCCTTATATCATAGTTACTAAAATTTGCTATTGAAGGCATATGACACTAATCCACTGTTAAATGTTTTAAAGCTAATATGTACCTGTAAGTTTCATCCAGATCATATTTATATTTATATTTTGTTGTTATTGTTGTTGTTGTTACATTATGTAGTCTAAGATACAAACAAAATGTACTCTGTCCAGATAGACCAATTAATAGAAAATAACTTTTACATAAAATGTACTATGAACCAAAAACATCTTCTCTTTTACATTTTGTTGCATCGATCTCTTTTTTCACTAGTTAACAGGACTTATATACTCATACACTACACCGCAATTGTAATGAACCTCTACTCATTTTTAGAACCACTAGCTTGTTTATCTTATGTATTTATTGTAATTTTGGATTATCTGGCTATGTTTTGGAAATTAGCATATCTAATACAAAATATGCTTTTACAAAAGCAATTTCCAAATATACTTTCTCTGTTTCTCATTCCCATTTCCTTGCAACAGATTTAACGCATCTTCTAAGTACAAATTCTTTGTTGTTTCTGGGTACACTAAGAGCTAGTTGTACCAAAAAGAGGTTTTATTTTTTTTCTCATTATATCAAATTTGCTTATTTAAAGTTCTAATGAGCAAAACAAACACCTTATTAAGATTTACGATAGAGGTTGTCTCCTAAGACTCCATTTCCATTCCCTCACAATTACTCACTTGATCTTAAAAGAACAATCTCGGAGGCTTTTGAAAATTTTCAGAAAAAGTTAAATATTTCAATATGGCAATAATACCCCAGTATAAACAATTGAAATAAGATGAGAGGACACAACAATTGCAAAAGGATGAAAGGGCTTCTTAAGACTTTCTTATCAAAATCATATTAAACCCTTAATTTTGATGAGCTCACCCAATGTAGAAGTTATTTACAAGCAGATGGACTGAAGTAAAAGTACTTAATTACAATATGAATAAGCTAGCTAGTCAATGAAAAATTTGCAATGAGTTTCACTAGTTATGCCAAAATAAGAGTATAACATAACACATTAACACTCTCACATCATTTCATAATCGGCCGTACTCATAACAAAAGCATTGGGTTCGAACAATTTGATGATTAATCCTTGGGAGAAATTAAGTTACTTTACATTGCATTGCACTTAATTATCAACTTAAAGGCATTTATATTTATCCAAACAACTAGTAAATCATCCTAGACCATAACCATACAAAAAATTAATGTGGTACAAGTGTACAACCAAGCATATATCAACGTATAAAAGATCTTAAGAAAACAACTCTTTCGTTTTTACACGACATCCATGCCATCCATGGTACAACAGTTTGCACCATATCCCGTTATACTCCCAAGGCTATTTCTATGCTCATTTGTCATTTTTCACCATTTCCTAATTCCTCCATTCATGTTTAGGGGTTGTGAATGAGTTGCACCAAAGATTTGGTGCATCCTTAAATTAGACAACCAGTGTTACAAAGACACACAACTATCACTATTAACCTGTTTCAATCCTAAAATAGGAAAAAGACTTGTCTCTATCTTATTAAACCCGTTCTTGTTTCTAATATATACTCCTTAGTATTCTTCTCACATACATTACCACTAACAGTTACAGAATAAGAAATTTCCAAGAATTTTCTGGGAAAAAAACAATAAATTAAAGTTATAAAATCCCTTTTCAATTTTTGTTAGCATTATGAAATTATATAAAATCCAGCAAAAAAATATGAGTAGTATTGTTTACGACTTCAAACATGAAACTTCTATCACAATTGAAGAATCTTATACAGTACGGGCAATTATGCAATTATGAGGCATAATAATAATTTAGCAACAACATTTACAAAATAAATTATGGTGCAAAGTAGTCAAATTAAATGATTGCAACTTACAATTTACACTTGAAATTGAAAAAACTGATAAATGTGGGGTAATATAGCTGATGATGAACCTCGTGTAAGCTTCCATTTTTCAGGTAGCAAGAAGTTGAAGTTGATAATGAGACTGTGCAGAAAGCTTCATTTTCTGGGAGTGAAGATAATTGTTGGAGTCAAAAATTGTTGGGAATTTTAAGTCAAAAAAACTTAATAGCCCGCTTATGAATTGGGCCTGGGCCTGGCTTACGGTGCGCCAACTTTAATATGGTGTTGACCAAATTTGATCGAAGGGAAGTAACATTGTAACTTATGTAAGGTACCACTTGTATATTGTAATACGTTGACCTACTAAAACAGTATATATTCAAATTGATTTTCTTTTTTTTTTAAATGTGTAAAGGGAGTTACAAATGGAAGTGATGTAGACGAGATTTGATTTATGTTTTGAATAACACCCCGAGACTAACCAACAAAGACAAACATATCTTTTGTATGATCGAATTTGAAATTGTGCCTATGCACATAGAACAATGGGAATGATATTTATAACATTGATGTTATGAAATAATCTTGACAATATGTAAAATCTGGAACCATTATGCATAATTTTCAACCATAGAGGATGCCTTGGTAGTTGGTACTATTAGTCTTATATTGAATTCCCCAAAAATTTTACTTCCTAATTTGTATGTAATGGTTTTACCACGTAGTGGCAATTGGATCATTGGCTTCCAACAAAAAAACTCAAGTTCCTTCTGTCATTTGGGGAGAACTAAAGGCAATACATACAGGATTGTCCATCATTGCTGAGAAAGGATGGTCGAATATTCAGATTTGTTCAGATTCAAAAGGTGCAATTGAAAGAGTGCAATAAGAGGATCCAGGCGAAGATGCTAACATGCTTATTGTCAAACAATGCAGGGAACTTTCAGAGGGGATGCCTAGTGTCAAGCTCAACCATGAACCAAGAGGAAGCAACAGGGCAGCAGATCTTTTGGCAAAGAATTGTAGAATGAAATGCTAGCTTTGATTGTAATCTAATTATTTTGGACAACTATCCTGACTTCTTAGCTACTGTAATTATGGAGGATAGACCTCCTTAACTGCTTTGTATTGCTGAACTCTATTTATCTAATCTATTCCTTGGCTTGCATAAAAAAAATGAAGCTTCCAACCTTTTCAATTCCTAATTCCTATTAGAGGCTTTTGATGATGAGGATCCTTTTAACCTCCCCTTTTCGAAGTATCTAGCATACTAACTCGAGTTGGATTACCTTATGAGAGATTTCAAATTGGAGCAGTTGTGAATTGCATGAATTAAATTATATAGAGATCCCGTAAAAAAAAAAAATAAAAAAATAAAAAAAAAATTATGTAGAGATAGAATACTAACAAATTTTCATTACTTGCAATAAATCAGAAGCTCTCACAAGATAGTTTGACTCGAATTAAGGAATTTCAACTTTCAAAGATTCAGGGGGTGTTTGGTTCACAGAGTGGTATGAGTTTGGAATCAGGAATGGGGTTAAGGTGGTATTGGGTTGGAACTTGATACTTAATACCTTGTGTAGTTGTGTTCGGTTCAATTCTAGAATGGAATATGTCACTATTCCTTCCTTTAATTTGATACATAAGGGAATGGAATTGGCCAAACCCACCTCCCATACTTTTGACATCCAAACATATGGTATGAGTTTTACTCATTCTAAACTTATACCTCATACCTATATTTCGCGAACCCTTACCACTCGACCAAACATCAAATCATTTTTTTTTCTTTGGCAATTGGCATTTAGACAATTGAAGACCATTCATTCATAAAAGAAGAATACGAAAATTCGAGAGAATGATTCTGACTTGGTTCCCCAACTTATCAATCGTCAATAATCTAGAATTTCATATTATTTCCCGGGAACGCCCAAATTTCACTTCACCTCTTCGCCGGAACCCTAATTTCCGAAAAAATCATGGCAGAAAAATTGGCCCCCGATAAGCGCCACGCCTTCGTTCACAACGGTAATCCTTTTCTCTCTCTTCTTTTCTTGTTGATTTTATCGATTGATTGATTAATTTTGATTGCTGAAATTTCAAATTTTCAATTAATCACAAATTTTTAGGTCAGAAGGTTTTCGAATGGGATCAAACCCTAGATGAGGTTAATGTGTACATTGCACTACCTCCAAATGTGCCGACGAAGCTATTTTATAGCAAAATTCAGTCTAAGCATGTTGAAGTTGGGATCAAAGGCAATCCTCCTTATCTTAATGTTAGTATTTTTGCATGAATTTGATGAATTTTTAGTTGATTTATCATTTTTATTTTTCAAATGGAAAATTCTTGTATGATTGTTGATGATGTTTAATTTGTTGTTTATTATTTTTTTTTTCAGCATGATTTGCAGCATCCTGTGAAGACTGACTCCTCTTTTTGGACTTTGGGTATGTATTTAATATTTGTGAGCAGTAATTTTTATTGCTTTGATTTGGTTTTTGATTCTGAGAATTTAGTGAAATACATGATCTTTACTGAGAATTAGTTGTAGTGTGCTGTGATGAAGAGGTGCTGATATGATTTGAACTGAGAATTACTATGCTAAGTAAACTAAATGACATAATTAGCGAACTATTGAATTGGTAATCTATCTAGATAGTGTTAGTTCCCTGAAAATTCCAAACACTTGACATGTTGAGTGAAAATCATGAAAAGGCTATAATACTTGTGTATGAGTTTATGTGTGCCTAATGGTGTTTGGGCTTGGTCGGGGCATGATCTGGTCAATGTATCACTTTGTGTTAGCAAATAACAGCCTAGCAGCTTGGTAAATAGCTTCTTTCTTATGACTTCAGCTGTATCGGTATCTTGTTACTAGGTGCATAATTTGAAATATGTGCTGCTGTAATTCAGAGGATCCTTCTTGCTGAATTATGTAATATGTACTTAAGTCTCTCGAGACATGTGGTAATTTGTATACAGCTGTGTTTAGCTTTCTTTAAGAATGTGTACAATATATTTGGTTGAGTTAATGTAAGTGTTTTATTTAATTGTCTGAGTGCTAGATTTGTACTTTGTTCATAGTTGCTGAAATATCTTTATGAATGCCAGAGGATGATACACTACATATAACCTTGCAAAAGAGGGACAAAGGCCAGACATGGTCTTCACCTATTGTGGGTCAAGGTCAGCTGGATCCTTACGCTGCAGATCAAGAGCAGAAGCGCTTGATGCTTCAGCGATTTCAAGAAGAGGTCATTTACTATAATCCTTTTTTTCAAGTTGTAGCTTGTATATCTGCTAGCTACAGTTATGTCTGTCAAATTGTGTGTCACTCTGGAGCTTATCAAGTAAAGTCGCACTAAAGTGGAAGTTTTTGCGATAATGTGAAGATTTTTTTTTTTTTTTTGTTTTTTTGAAAATGAATACGGTGTTAGAAAATGTAAGTACAATAGAGTGTAAATTTCATTTATTCAGCTTAAGCTTATAGAGTTCGTTGTGCTTTGGTTTTTGTTGAAGTCTTCTAAAACTAATTTGCACTGCTGTTATTTGGGTGACCATTTGCTTCATTGCTTGTTTAAATCTTAAATTTTTTTACTGTTATTCAGTGATCATGTTAAATAATAATTTTTTATCTTATTTGGGGGAGGTGGGGTGGTGGGTCACAGATCATGTGAAATAATTGTTTTTTTTATTTTTATTTGGGGGAGGTTGGGGTAGGGTTAGGCACTTAGGCCCTTTCCGTTTGGGGGGGGGGGGTTACAAAGCAAACTACAATTGAATTTCTTTAATCACTAATAGATTTAGAAGCTAAACTAATTACTTAAGCTATAATGCATTGGCCCTAGGCTGTTTTATGATTAAGAGCATTGACAATCAATTTATTGTTATGTCCATCATTAGGGGTGTAAATTTCTTCATATTTGTTTATAATATTTTCAGTAGTTGGATTACGTCTTTCTATCATGCTCCATTGCATGTCTTGATCTATTGAACAGAGTGACCTTTTGAATGAAAGGGCATTATGATAGATGATATATTGATCTAGGCTTGTCTTTCTATATTAGTGGCTAGAGAATTCCTGATCAATTTACTGGTTTGAGGACCTGTCAAAATATATATGTCTTTTGATGTGGGTGGGGGACTAATTTTGTTGTCTTACTGTTCTTGTACCTGGTCATGATTCTCAATGCGAGGCATGGCTGGGTGAGGTTGGTGATACATGAATTTTTATGTTTTCTTATTAACAGTACAATCCCCATTGGGCGTAAGGGCTATATAGAATCATTGGATGTAATTATGCCTTTTGGCTTCAATTTCCTACTTCTCTACCTTTTAAGTAGAAAGCCTTGCACTCTACCCTTTTGTGAATTGTAAGGATATAATTGCATTTGGTTATTGTGTCATTTCATGTATTTGGCTTTTTATTGCTTGCCTTATGCAGCATGTGCTCCTATATTCCCCTGGTTAAAATAGGATATTTTTGGCATCTGTGATCCCTAGACTTAATTTTTTCATCTGGTTAGATAGTGTGAATTTCAAGTTTCTTGAATGCTCTGTTTTGTTGTAGGACTTTCAAAGTTTTTTTTGCATGTATACCCTATCTGATGCAATTGTTCTTTTTGTCCATATCTTTCAATTCAATCTACCGATAAAACAATTTATGATTAATTGTGAAGTGTGGTCCATGGTACAGTTCACTACTCAGCTGTCTTAATTCCGGGTTTTATTTATTTACTTAACATTTTTTTTTCCGCAGAACCCAGGTTTTGACTTCTCGCAAGCAGACTTTAGCGGGAATTGTCCAGATCCTAGAACATTCATGGGTGGAATCCATTAGGTGGTTATCTTGCATGGCGAGCGTTTCTTACCTGCATAATTTGTGAAGCCTTATAAATGTCAGTAATAAATGACTCTTATCCTTCATGTTAACTGTAATCATCAATTGGGCAGGCTTGATTCCAGATAGTAACTAATCTAAGTAATGCTAACTTATGTTATTCATCTTCAGTAGCAGTTTCTCAAGGTGCATTATTGTTGTTGACTTGCTTGGTCTTTCTGTTCCTCTGACATTGCTCTACCTGATAATGTTAATGTGCAAAATTAAACTTTTCTTTGGTCTGATAGTTGTAGACTTGTATTGATGGCCTATTATTTATGTCATCCAGAATAATAAGGTTGTATAGGATATATCAGATGCAGACGATTAAGCAATGAGAAAATTTGAGAGAGCCTCTTTGATGTCAAATGGCTATTGTTGTTTTGTGAAGGGAATGAAATCCACAATATACATAAATATGGTTCTTTCTATCATATTGTAACTAAATATGCGACAGTATGCTGTGGTGTCCAGGAGTATGATTTGCATGGGGCTAATTGGGATTTGGGGAGGCTGGGGGATTCGTCTCGTACTGAGTCATGCCCCGGCATGTAGTGGACGAGCACCCCCTCGCTTGTGCACCAAAACAGGGCACTGTTTAGGGTGCATGATTTGCAATCTAGAAAAATAGTTCAGAAGGAAGATACCGCACTCAAGGGCATCGAATGTTAAACAAATTGCGTGAAGGAATTCTCCATCAATAATGAATATTATACTTTGTTCTACTGGTTTTTCTTAAAAAAATCAAAAGGAATTCACAATGTTCGACCTCGTTGCCCCAATTTTTTTTTTTTTTTTTTTTTTTTGGCATCGCATATAGACTCTGTCTTACAAGTGGCAGTTGCGCCTTTATGTCTTTGAGTTGTATCCTTGTATTTGTATTACTGAGTATACTCGACTGTATTCCTAAGTTTCCTCTCTCGCTTAGTTTGACAAAAATTTAGCCACGGAACTAATTGAAGCTTGAATTTTTAAATGGTCGAAAAGATAATTGAAACGTTGAATAAATGCTGCCAATCAGTCAAAGTCTAAAGTTGATAAGCTAACTAATCTGGTAATATTAGAGGTGTAACTTTGGTGATATAGTTAAATGACACAAAGATGGTTAGTATTTGTAGCTTATTATACTACTTAATGATAGGATGTAATAATTTTACACCTTTTTCTTACATGATCAAGTAAGTGTTTTCTCTAGGTTAACATGAAATTGAAAATAAATGCATGTACAATTAAGGAGAGAGTATTTCTCATCTAATAAGCTTATACTACGTACTATACTACTATTTTAGAGCAAATTACACCTTTCAATTCTATTTGTTCTTCCTATTTCTACTAATGGAATCTTCAAAGGTTTCTTCCTATGTGGAATTATTTCAAACTATGCTCCTAATTCAAGACCTATGCTCTTTGCTCTCATTGGCCTACCTCGGTATAAGGTTGTGCACTTTGCTAACGTGATTTTTTTTTTTTTTTTTTTTTTTGAAGGGAGCTAACGTGATTTATATGCTTAAATGCTTTTATTAGGATTAGGAAGTGAAAATTCTTTTTTTTTTTTTTCCTTAAAAAAAATTTCACTTGTCATATATAATTCCATTATTATCCCCTAGCTTCTCCCAATATTCCAATTAGAAAGGAAAAAGTTAGCAATAACAAAAATAATGTTGGTCGATTACATTTGTCACTAATCAATGACCAGCTCTATCGTATAAAAGTAAAGAAGTATCCTAATTATTTAATATTAATATTTTTTTTTTAATTTTTATGAGAAAAGTCTTATAAGTTGTAACTACGAGTAGCTAATCATCTTATGCGTGTCTTTCTTTGTGGATTCACCTCATTTAGCAATCTAAGACAAAACTAAACATTATTAATTGGTGCTTAAAAAAGTTAAAGATTTACGCTCCTAAATCGATTTTGATACTCTTGACCAGAATCCGTGTACACGCAGAATTTCAGAACATATCGACAGACGGCAATAACGAAACTCAGACGCAAATATATAAATACTCCAATCCATTTTTTAATTCAATTTCTTTGGATCATCTTCTCTTATAATTCCCAGAAAAAAAAAAAAAAAACAAACAAATCAAACCGATTTTAATGGGGTTCTCCCGCCGTAGTTTGGTCATAGGCAACTACTGCCATGACGTCCTTCTTCAAGACGACGTCGTAATTGCAGAATCATTGGGTGGTGCTGCTTCCTTCATCTCCAGCATTTTCTCTCTCCTCTCAATTCCCTGTGATTGTATTTCAATTGTTGGTTCTGATTTTAGTTACAATCACTCTGTTTTCTGCTCTCCAATTGTTTCTAATACCTCAAAAACCACCGTTTTTCATGCTCATTTCTACTCTAATTGCCCTGAAAATGATGGGAAACCCGTTTCAGATCGGACCCTTAAACGGGTCATTGCATGTGACCCGATTCGACCCATAGAGTTGCCCAACTCTAACTCGGGGAAAAGGTTTGATTTTGGGATGGCTGTGGGTGTGGGAGGGGAGATTTTACCTGAAACTTTGGAGGGTTTGGTTGAGATTTGTGATGTTGTGTTTGTTGATGTTCAAGGGTTGATTAGAGAATTTGATGAAATTGATGGTACTGTTAGATTGATTAATTTGAATGAGACTAAATTTTACCCTTTATTATCTAAAATTGGGGTTTTGAAGGCTTCTGCTGAAGAAGCTGAGTTTATGGATGTTGAGGAGGTCAGGAAGTTGTGTTGTGTGGTTGTGACTTATGGTGAGAAGGGTTGTAAAGTGTTCTGGAAAGATGGGGAGGTTGAGATTTCGCCGTTTTCGACGATTCAGATTGATCCTACTGGTGCTGGGGATAGTTTGTTAGGTGGGTTTGTTGCTGGGCTTTCTCTTGGTTTAGCTGTTCCTGATGCTGCTTTGTTAGGCAACTTTTTTGGGTCTTTGACTGTTTCTCAAATTGGGTTGCCTAAGTTTGATTCCAAGTTGTTGCAGGTGTGTAATTTGATTCTGTAACATGTTTTGTAGTACTCCGTATGTCTTTGTGATTTTGATTCTGAATGATTTTTGTTATTTGCATTAATATCTGTGTGCTTCTTCATCGTATTCGTGTTCTTGCATTATAATGTTTTGTTGTTATATGTTGAATGACTAATGGTAACATGCCATTAGTGACCTTGACTCATTTCCTAGTTAACTACTTTGGTTGGAGATTTACATGTTCCTTGAAATGGAGCTGTTTAATGGGATTTGTAAGACTTCGAATTAGCCAGAGGAAAAAAAAATAAATAAATGGAGAGAGCTGGGGAATATGAACAGTTTGGAGGGCATTACTTTAGGTGTTAGCTTGTCCCAGAGACATTCTGCTAGGTGTTTAGGTGAACAGTTGAACACTGAATAAGCTTTGTACTAATGGCAGCTTGATTAATGCTACGAAAATGAGGCTTAGGAATAATTTGTGTCTGAGAAAAGAAGTTATGGTGAATTTCTCTCTCAGAGTCTGCTTATACAATGTCATTTTCGGGCTGGTTGGGGCTTTGAGATCAGATGTGCTGGCATGTATAATCGATGGGTTTTGGATTTCAGAGATGATGGCATATGTTAAAGTTGCATCTATGTCCCTGATAAGTTATGTGAGACTGATCTCTGTGTTATTTTGATGCCTGTTCATCAAATCAAATTGCTCACAACTCACATGTTCTTCGAACATAAGGGGCATTTCAATCAAGCTGGTTCTAATGAGCTCTGGTGCTATCTGTAGAGCCTGGCTATTCCACTTGAAGTACTTGTGTTGGTAACTAGACACTTTGTCATAGGTATAAAATTTTGGACCAAAAGCACGGAATTTTTTGTCAATTATTTTATTACCTCCTCTTGACTTGGTGACAAATTGTGCTTCTTTAAATGATCCGATGATGTACACAATTTGACAACAATCACATATTTTTCTCAACTGTTTTGTGTTCCCATGACACAGTTTCAGTCACAACCATTGAAAGTGTTGCAGAAGTATATTGCCTCTTATCAACATGAGTATAGGATACATACTGCTTTTTTGCTTTGTTTATAATTACTGTATCCTAATGCTACATTATCTTTTCCGTTTGTATATAAAGAACCTTAGAAGTTGAACCATAAGGAGCATCTTTTGCTTTGCATTAGCATTTATGGACACTTGCTGATACTCTGTATTTAGCATCTGGTTCCATTACCTCTCCTTTGTCTGCCAGAAAGAAAAAAAAGGCAATATGATTATTTACAATAATTGTCCTTATTTTCATTCTCAGAGAGTCAAAGATGAAGTTCAAAGAAGATCATTGCAGTGTGCTCAACACCGAGTTGGTGATGTAAATGAGCTTTGGTTTTCAAAACCACTTGGTCACGAGCAATTCCACGAGTCCCTTAATGCTATCAGACACGCATTTTCTTTGCCTGTACAAGAATGTAGAAGGGATCTACCAGATATGCAAAATCTTACTACATCTGTAAATCACAGTATAAAGCATCAGTGTAATGGGCAAAGTCTCTTGCATAATCCTGTATATGATGAAGCAGTTGAACCCCTCAAAGGTACACAATGATAGACACCAAAGCCGCCCTCTCTCTACCTTTTTTTGTAATTTGTTGGTCATCTTTTTGTAATGCAGCAATCCTGTTTAGAATAATTTGGGGCACTAGATCATACTCATTGAAAGTCTGAAATAGGTCACTTTAGTTCATTAATTAGGAATTTTGTAATTGAAGCGGAATCCCGTTTCTTTGTTGTAATTTGTAAATGCCTAATCTCAATGAGGTGCTATGATGCCTTGCCACTAATGCATTTCGTGTTTCCTGTGTACTGGATGCAAACTGAGTAATTAGCAGACAGATTATACGTAGTAGCAAATACTCTATATGATCGAGGATCAAAATATCTTGGAAATCTATGCTATGATTGCTATTGCTAGGCACGACGTCAATTTTTGGCAAATCTGCCTTTTAGTTTAGATTATTCTCCTAGTTGTTACAGGAATCTACCAAACGCCCCAATTAGGGGTGTAAATGAGCTGATACGTTCGTGAACTACTCGCGAACAAGCTCGGTCAAAGCTTGATCAAACTCGTTTGTTAAGCTAACAAACAAGCTTGAACAAAACTTTTAAGCTCGTCAAATAAATGAACAAAACTCGAACAACATCATGTTCGACTCGGTAATGTTCGTGAACAACTCGTTTAAGTCCATTTATAAGTTTTTTTAATGTTTGATTAAAACTCGGACAATTTATATATCTTTATTCATACATATTTTTAAAGAGTATTAATTATTTCATCATTTAAAGGCATGAAAAATCCGTTGTGTTAAAATTTGAAAAAAGAAAAGAAAAAAAAAACACATTTTTCTAATAACAAATTAGGGCTTGTTTATTTAGTCAAGCCCGATTAAATCCCGTTTAAGCTCGAACTTAAACTCGAAATGCAAACGAGTGTGTTCATGAACAAAGCTCAAACAAGCCAAATTCTTAACAAGCCTAGCTCGAACAAGATTTTTAAAAGCTCGTTCAACCTTGAGATAGTTCGAACACGAATAATTCTTATCAAGCTTAGCTCGAACAGCTTGAAACTCGGCTCGATCCGGATCGTTTGCCGCCCTAGCCCCAATCTCATATCACATGTATGGTTTTGGTTATATTTAGAGGCTTGTGGTGGTTAAGATCATCTAAACTATTGTTGATACACGGGCTTCATCAGTTAGTCCTCTAGACTAGATAATGGTAGGAGTTGATCCGACCTCTTGAGATCCTCCTGATGGTGAGATTCATACTGGATGGTGGTTATTTCTGTTGTCAAACTCCATGGAGCAGTCTTACTAGAGCTGCATAGATAACATGTGCACAAAGTATCTTTTTGGAGGAACAATTGAAGGCTCTGCTCAGAGAATGCAACATGAATTTTGCTCTCTACACGAAACCTTTGATCAAGTACTTAAATTCTTCTTTGTTTCGGTCATTACAAGTTTACAGCCTTCGATACGTAATGCGGTGTATATTCTAAGATATTGAACAAAATTATGTACATGGGTTGTCTTATAAAGGAGATACTCTACATTTTGCTTTCTCCAATTGTTATGATAATGATGTAATAAAGTTCTATAGAAAGCAAGGTTCAATTTGATCAAAGCACTCTTGTAGTCACCAATTATTTCTTTGATTGCACTCTTTCTACATCTATTAAAGACACATGTTCTTACAAAGATAAATTGCCCGTCTAATGTATAAAGTGAGTAATCATTAATCAATGCTCAAATTTCCTTACTATTCTAACTTAATATTTTATGACCTTCAAAGGCAAGATTGTATTGTGCGATAAGAACTACTTGTATTAGTGTTTGATGTTGCTATTAAAAGGGGATTTTTATCAATGTTCCCATAAATATGGCCAATTTTCATATTGGCATTTTAATTTGACAAAATTATACAAGTATATTTTAGAAGCTTTTATATCTTGTAAAAAGGCCGTATAACCTTTGAAGCTTGAACAATTATATTTTATATTTTTTTGACAGGATTGAATAATTATATTGTTAAACAAACGAGCTTACAATAAGAGTTGTTCATGGCTTAATGAATGCTTTGAACCTTGTTTATTAATGAGCTCAAGATTTTGCTTAACCTTGTTTATTAATTTAACAAATGAGTTTGACTGATGTCCAAACAAAATTTCAAAAGTTTAATAGGATATAAGTCTCACCTCGTTTGTAGCCAATTTGTAGAAGGTAGCTTAATTTTAATATAACTAGGGCGGCTAATGCGCGCGTCATAGCTAGCCATGTCTAAAAGTTCTTTCGGTTTGGCGTTGTTAGTAGCGTTAATTAGAGAAAATATGTAAACAAATATTTTTAGGGGTATAAATGTCCACACTCTATTCTTAAAAGTTCAAAAAAAAAAAAAAAACCAATTAACATTAATGAGGCAAATATGTAAATAAGCATTTGAGAAACATAATCGTCTCAATACTATTCATAAAGTATGGTCATACTTTTAAAAGGGGTAAATAAGTAAATAAACATTTTTAAATTAAGGGTATAATAGTCTCAACACTATTCATAAGAGTTTACTCATACTTTTAAAAAGGTAGGGAAATCCGGATAAGTTGTGCAGAGTTTTTTTTTTTTTTTTTTTTTTTTTTAAGCAGTTCAAATGTTAGGTAAACTATATAATTTCAATTTTTGATGGATACTTTTTGTAATGAGAACATGATTATGTATATTCTTATTAAATTCATCTTAACTTATTTATTTTGGGGAACTATCATTGGTACACCCCTAGTTTTACCTTTTATCAATTATACACCTGCTCTAATTATAATTATCAACGACACATTTGTACTTTGGACTAATTAACCACAGTAATTAATCCGTTAAGTAAACGTTAATAATAGGTTAATGACAACAATATTGACTTAACATGAATAGACTAATTCCCCCCCCCCCCCCCTACTTATTAACTCTCCTTCCAAGGCTCCAATTGCCAAAATTAAAAAACAAAATTATGATTGTTCATCTTCTTCATCTCCTCTGATTCCCTCCCATGTTCTTATGTCTTTGAGAAACCCTAGTTGACGCACGATCGAAGCAAAATTCCTAGAAATTTAGCACTACTTGGTTGATTGAAAAAGGTTGTACTTTTTGAATTTTGTGTTTTTCGATTTAAATTGTAGCTTTTGTTGATGGATGTATTTGGGTTTAATTCAATTTGTTGGTAGATTTTGTCATTTAATTGTGCATGATTTGCGTTTGATTATGCTGATTTGCGTCTGATTATGCTTGTTTGCTTAATTTGTGTTTGTTTTCTTATATAATTCGATATGGTGTGTTTGAGTTTCTATGGTTAAGTGTCATTAATAGTTGGTCCTAGGTTTAATTATGTGTTCTTAAGTAATTGTGGTTTTTGATTTGTTATTAAATTCCATATTTGATTATGCAAAATGGGTGATGATACCAAGACAATTAGATTTCACTATTTGGGAAGGGAAGTAGATGTGACAGTAGATATTGCTGTCATTAACCTATTATTAATGTTTACTTAACGAATTAATCACTGTAGTTAATTAGTCCAAAGTACAAGCATGCTGCTGATATAATTAGAGCAGGTGTATCATTGATAAAAAGGCCAAATCAGGGGTGTACCAATGATAATTTCTCTATTTTTTGTACCTAAATACTTTTAAATTGTAGATAATTTAATGTAATTTTTTTTTTTTGACAGAAGATAATTTAATGTAATTTATGGTTGAAGATATGCATCAATTAATAATAAGGGCAAGAAAGATATTTTATCTAATTATTCATAGGGTGAAAAAAAAAAATTGGTTTATTACCGGTAAGGTTCTTTTTTTTTTTTTTTAAAACACAATTGTTAAGAGTCCTTAATCCAACGAATTTGGTCATGTTTATTTTTGAGTTTAGATAACACCGTTTAAGCCCACAATTAGCGTAAAGTGGAATTTTGATCAAAAATCTACTTTTTAATTTGCATTCTCTTCTTCTCCCCCCAGAAGCATATTAACCCCCCTTCAATAATGGCAGCCAACCGTCACCAACAATTTTTGGAATCCATCAAATATCTTGCTGTTCTTTCTAATTTCCCCCAAATCGATTTCTCAATTAGGGTTCCTTCATTTTCCATTCCCCTTTCCTCTGCTGAATTGCTTCCTCGTTAGCCTTGCAATTTCTGTTTCAATTTTTCTGGGTTTTCGATTTTTCCCCAATTGATAGTTTTTCACCGGGGGCAAAACCCTAATTTTTTGATTTAAAATTCTGTTGTGAATTCGAGTTTGATTTTTTTTTTTTTTCAATTGTTTTGATTTTGTCGACGAATCCTAAACCTTAATACCAGTACAGTTAAATTCATTTTCGTGTTGAATAGAGATGAAGCAATCAAAGAGGAAGAAGAGAAGAGAGCAGCCTTCAAAGCAGCAAAATATCAGTATTTCTGGAAATACCAAAAAAATCAATGCTGAGAGTGAGGAAGAAAAGATCATAGTTAGTTTGATGGAAGCATTTTCATTGACTTCTGTTGAAGAAGCTGAAGCAGCTTATAAGGAAGCTAATGGTGATCCAAATAAAGCTGCTGAAATTCTATGTAGTTTATCTGAAAGTTCCGAGGTTTTTCAAGATCGTTGTTCTAATTCATCCATAAGTTTTGGATTGGATTCAAATTCGAATTCGTCGGAGGGACTCCCAGAACCGAGCAGTTCTTCTGATAGCAATAGGACTAGGAGTTCTAGGGGGAGTAGAGGTAAAAAGATGGTGGCTACTACAGGAACGGTTTCGACGGTTCTCGGGAAGGATTATGTAACCTCGAGCTCGAGAAAGGATCTTGTGAAGGAAAAAGGATTGGGTGGTGCCAGGCCTAATATGGAGGCGGCAGAGCAATTTCTCTGCTCTATGCTCGGAGACGACTGTGAACTCAACATGGGTGTTATTAGAGATGTGCTATGTGAGTCTCCTGTACCTTGTTTGCTATTTGCTGATATAGTTTGCTCAACTGTTAAAACTTGTTTTTCGGAATTGTTGGTCTGATTGTGCTGTGAGGCTCCTGTACTTTTTATTCTTAATCTATGCTATTTGCTGATATTGTTTGCCGGATTTGTTGGTCTGATTGTCAGCAAAATTACTGTTAGATTATGAATGTAAAAGGTGGACATTTGCTCTTATAAGTGAAATGCCCATCATGAGTTATTGACTTACAGACCATGATCATCTAAGTAGGGATTGAGGGGGTTTTAGATGATTGCATTTTGCAGCCTTCCCCCTTGCCTAGGATATTGTGTTACGTACATGTGTATTCCTATCATGAACTAATTGTTGAAATTGTTGGGAATCTATAAATAACGGAAGAAAATCTGTATGTACATGTGAAATGAGCAAGGCCACAAGGAGCAGATTAAAGAGGTTTTTTTTTGCCAAATATGCGTTAGGGCATCTCCATGTTTGATGGTTTATAACAATTGTGGGGATCACTCAACAATATTAACAACATATGCTTTGTTCATCATGTCACTTTTTTACCTTTCCTAAAGCTGGAATTTGAAGGGACATAATATCCACTTATGTTGCAGATTTTCTTGTCCGTGTAGCTCATCAAGGCTCTCAAAATAAGAGTCTTTTTGCATCACATTTCTTTGTTCTATATTGTTTATTTTGGTTCTTTGGGAAGGATGTTAGTTAACTAATGGTTGGGCACGGGGTTAAAATAGGGTAGATTTTTTTTTTTTTAAATTTTAATTTATGTAATTATTTATATATTTTGTTATAATGCATGCCTAAATAATGAAAGTATGAAAGGTAGCCTCCATCATTTTAATATTAGCCTTACTTTTTGATGACTATCTATTCTATTCCTTTTTGTTTTCACTTTATTCTCTCTTCATCAATTGTTATGAATTTGGGGCATGGCATTTGAGATGTCAAGCTTGATTGCTTATCCTCATACCTTCCCCTTTTGGGCATCTTAAATAAATATCCTTGTGGATAGTGGCCACCTTATACTGAAAGAGTTGTGTATTTTGTTATTGCAGGTAATTGTGGGTTTGATGTTGAGAAGGTATCCATCTTAATTTAGAATTCTTTCCGTTGTCTTTGGCTCTTTTTCTTTTTTTTTTTCCCAGCTGTTTTTTAATTGCATGCTGAGTGCCTTAGAATTGCCTTTGTAGTTTGTGTTGATTCAATCAATTAGAAAATCTGGTTAAAATCATGAACAAAATTTTTTTCTTCGCTATTTTATTGATAAAACTTGAAGTTTACTGCTGCTATCAATCTGGCAATTTTTTTATGACCCCATTTAAAATCTTTTGCATGTTGACCTACTCAAATCTAACTGTGTCCTGGGGTTTGTCCAGCACACTCCCTGCATTACTATTGCAGTAACAATATTTTTAGTATTGACTGAATTTCCTGGTCTCTGTATGAGTTCCAGTGCCTGTTTGCAGTCTGAGAATGGGAAACAGCTGGTCCACTTCTGAACTGTCCACTGTAAAGTTTCTATTGTTGCAATCAGTTCATGTTCAAGTGGTTCACCTAAAAATGTAGCATCAACATTGTTTTTAGGACAGGGTTTGGTGGGGAGTAAAGTACCAATCATTATAGAAGAGATGCTTTTGGCAGTTAGTGTCTCGGGGTTTCTTCTTTTCCAGAGTCCAGATATGCCAGATGGTTAACATGAAGATGACATTCCAAGGGACATTGCCCATGACAGATCTGGTGTTGGTGAGGTTAATTCTGAACCAAGATTTAAAGTCTTGGGTGGATGTAGGGTTTTATCTATAACTTTTAGATGTTCATAGGCCTAGGCAAGTCTGAATACATGACTCATTGATTTAATTTCTTTTCTGAGGTCAGAAAGTGTATGAATCAGATTGGATTATATTTGAGCCTTGGGTTCCTATTAAACAATAACTTCCAAAGGAAGAACCTAATGTTAGAGTGACTTGGGGATTCCTTATCTAATCCCAATTAGTGCCATTTTTATGATTTAGCTGGTCAAGTAAATGTTAAGGCTGTAGTCTGAGAATTAAAATTGTTCCTAAATTTACTCTGATAATAACCTATACTCTCCTTGCATTTATTTTACATATTCTTCCTGTTCCTGAGGTTTTTATGAATTTGGAACTCCAATTCCCCAAAAGGTCTTGCACATTTTTGTGGTGGGTGAGGACTTTGAGGAGGGAAGCAACTGATCAGTTAAAGTCTTGAAATCTAACAGGTCCTATTAGGTTTTTGTAAGGTTTTCATTCCCTAGCATTTATTATGCCATATATTAATGGAAGTTCTATTTTCCACCTTCTAGGATAAATAAACTCTTTATATAGAGCTTAGTTTTAAAAAGCGTGCCTAAGGTGTGCCTAGGCGCTAAGCACAGTGAGGCTCAAGAGTTGGCGTCTTAGCTCTGTGAGGCTCAAAGACCTACAAAAGGTGCGTGCCTTTGCACTTTTTTTCTAGGCTGCTTCTTACGCCTTTGCACCTTATATCGCGCCTTATGTTGTAAAGCATCAATAGCTATTGTGTAAGTTATTTTTTTTCTATAAAACACTATGGGACTTTGATACGGTTAGGTTGATTTATTTCTAGTGGAGAGAGAAATCCCATATCCCTCAATTCGATTTGAAGAACCCTAGTTATTGATCACATGTCCCTTTCACCTTTTCACATAATTCCAATTTTACACTTATTTAATAGAACTTATTATTTCTTTTCTATATGAATAAAGTGCGCCTCTCCTACAAAAGGCGCGCGCCTTTGCCTTGCGCCTAGGCTCTAAGGACTTTTGCACCTTGGTGCGCCTTGCGCCCTTTACAACTAAGATATAGAGGTACGTTGCAACTCAATACTTTTGAGGGTGTTTAATGCATTTGATGTTGCTGACAGTGAACACAGCCTTATATCCCGCTGACTTATTGTACTACTTGTGAACATATGTATTTTGATTTTGCTCATATTCAATTTGATCACCTAATTTACTGGAGAAATGTACGCATATTTGCTGTTGATTAACCCTCCCCCCCCCCTCTCCCACCCTTTACTAATATGATGGAAACAAGTTGGTATATTTCATTTACGTAAATCTTGTTTGGAGAACTAAGTTCTGAAATAAGAAAACTCAACATATCTTTCTCTTTAGTTATAAAAGAAAATGGATCGCATCAGGTTTTTTGTTAGTCGTTTTTGTTTATAGTAGCAAAATACATATATACCAACACACATCAATCGATTGACCTAGTGTGCATATCTATTTTATATCTTTCTGATGTAATATTAATAAATTTAATATACTTCTGACCTGTTATGAAATAGCAATATACAGAGTAGATAGAATTATGTGAACATGAATAAATTCTAAGTCCATTTTAACTGTTATCAAAATTTTGATAGCAACTGAGATTTGATTCGCTATTTATGTGTATTTCTCCTAGTTCAACCAATAATCTAAACTGAAATTTGTTTCTTTACAAAGAGAGGGAGTATCATTATAGCTTTTTAACATGTTGGTTTGCAGCTTGTTCAATAAAATTTTGAATCTTTTGCAGGCACTGGAGGTGTTGCTTGATCTATCTGCACCTTATTGTGAATCATCTGGCAGTGATAAATATTCTAGCTCTAGTTCAAGCAGTGCCGAATATTCAAGAAATTTAGATTGTATTGATGGTGTGAGTGATTTTACCTTATATCTTCATTATTTGGTTGAAGCATCATGCCTGATTGTCTGATTATTTGCTTTCTTTCTTTCCTTTTTTTTTTCTTTGTACTGAATGATTATTGGGTTCTGAAGCATCTCTACATTCAAAACGAAACTGTGATATTAGTCTATTTGCTTGCATGTGGGATCTTTCTACAAAGAACAGTGTGTTGTCTCTTTTCCTGTTTACTCCATTCTCTATATCTCTTGCAAAATGATATTATTTTCTGCCTTTGGGAAACAATATCCTGCAAGTGCTGAGTGGTAAAGATTAATTTTATTGACCTTTGTAGAGCCCAATTAAGGTTTTAGGTATTCCATATACAAGGTGGTCTTATGTTTTCCTTTTTGTCAAATTTTACAAGAACTGCTCATTATATTTTCTTCTTGAGCAGGATCTGGGGAGTTCTAGACATAAATGCAGCTTTGCCTCGTTTTACCTGTCACAAAGTAATAGAGACAGCATCATTGAAATCCCTCAATTGGTCTGTAGAGTTGAATTTAGTTCAGTGTGTTTTTTTGTTTTTTTTTTTAATTATTTTTGGATAAATTGACAAGAATCATCCGAACTTTGCCTCATTCGCTCAAAATAATTCTAACTTTGGATTATTTTTTAATAATCCGAACTTTGATATGAATTTGCTTCTAATGGTCCCAACCGGTTAATCAAATTGTTTTAAAAAGTTATCTGTCACATGTCAGCATATGATTGGTAAAAAAAAAAATAAAAAAAAAATTCAGAATTTTTTTTAAAGAAAAATTAAAAACAATAATTTTAAATAACTTAAAAAACACCCTACCAGCGCCCCAACCACCTTACCCGCCCAGCCCACTAGCCCAGGCCGCCGCCACCCTCGCCGACCACCTTCCCGCACCGGCAACACCACCGTACCACCTTTCCCTTCCCCGCTTCCCCACACCCCCTCCCCTACCTCAAATCCATTTCGCCAACCAAAAAACACATTTGCGAACCTTACCCTTGCCGACTACAGCGGCCCTAACTGCGAAGAGTGCGAACCCTCACCCTCACCCTCACCCTCACCCTGTCCGTGAGCTGCAACCCCGGCCTACCCAAACCACCACCCCTTCTCCAGTTTCATGGTTGCAGAAGGGGGTTGCGACTTGCGAGTGGGGATTAATTGGTTGCAAAAAGCAGTTGCGGGGAAAGGGAGGGGTTGGGTCGCAGTAGAGGGTTGCAGCAGGGAAGGGGGACGCTGGTGGGAAGAGTCTAGGGTCAAGTTGGGTTGGGGCGGGCGCCGGCGGGGGTGAAGGGCAGGGAGGGTGGCTGGTGGTGGTTTTTCTTAAAACTATTTTTAAAATAGTTAGTTTTTAATTATTTTTAAAATAGTTAGTTTAAAAATAATTAGTTAATTGTTAATTAATACTAATAATTTGCCTCAAAAAAAAAAAAAAACTAGTATTAATAGTAACTTATTTTGACCAATCATGTTGTGACATGTGTAAATTACTTTTTTGTTTTTTTTTTTTTTAATTTCCTTTCCAATAGGTTACTGGTCACTTGGGACCATTGAAAGTAAATTCATATCAAAGTTCGGATTATTAAAAAATAATCCAAAGTTGGGATTATTTTGGGCGAATGAGGCAAAGTTGGGATTATTCTTGTCATTTTTTTTTTACTAATGCTGGAATAAATGAGTTATTATTTTTACTTTTCTAAGTACTTTCCTATCTGTATTTTGGCATGAGCCAGTCTGGTTTAGTGTTCAATTAATATCCTATAGACCTATACATGTTGCCTTGTTTGCGAATTATATGTTTGTATTTATGTTTGCAAACTCCATGTTTGTAAATTGTGATAAGATATAAGACGTATTCGGCTATTCCTTTTTTCTTTAACTCAGTAAGTGCACTCTGATAAATACTAATATGTTTTGTTTGCTCGTCTGAAATAGTTTTGGCAACAGACTGATAGGGGATCTGATTCAAATTCTTATTCCTCTGAAGGTGACTTTCAGGATAATTTACGGCTCCTTGATTTTAATGGCAGGTATATATATTTCGCTCCTTGTTGATTACCACCTAAAAGGCCACCATATAATTATGGGGTAGTGGCTCCTTTGTGATGTATTGGCTACTTAGATGGCAGGGCTTGTGGTCCCTTTTCTCCTTATCTATGGAAATGTTCAGTATGACAAAGTTGTATATAAGTTTGTGATTTGATATGAATGATATCTTGTTTAAATTTGTATACTTTATTTGCAAGGTTATTGTCTTCCTATTAATTTTATATATGCTGGTTTATTCTTTTCTATTTTTTTCGTGTCTGAAACTATTCTTTATTTGCAAGGTTATTTGATTAAAATGATCTTTTATGACCTCAGGAGTTATGCAGAAGCTCTTGCCTGTTCTGATCATTCAAGTAATCCAGCTGCAGCAAGTTCGAGATCTGATGGACCTGAGCTACCACGACAAGTTTTAGAATCATTGTTTCATATCCTTAAGAATTCGGAGCAAGATCCATCTACCATGAACTGGAGGAATGTTGCTAAACAAATGGAGTCTTTTGCGCAGAAGCGAGTTCAACTTGGTCCTTCTAGCTTTATTGCACGAGAATTGAACACCCAAGGTATATAAATTGCTACCTGGACCTAATGGTCAAATCTTCTCGTTACTGATTTCGCTGTTTATTTTTTACTCCTTCCGTCCTTTAATTACAGGCAAACCTCTCAAAAAACACGGGAATTAAGGTGGATGGAAATAGTTGAGGAATATTACATGGGAAAGATTAAAAATAGAGAATGTTGTATGGGAATCATAAAAAGTAGAGAGTATTGTATGGGAAAGATAAAAAGTATGTAATGATATATTGGGTATATGTGTATTTTGTATGGGAAAGATAAATAGTAAGTAATGATTACATGATATTTTTATAAACAAGCATAACATTTTGGGACACCCAAAATGGAATAGTTGCTTGTAATTATGGGACGGAGGGAGTAATTGTTTATGCTCTTGGGGGCTATGTCTTCTTCTGTTCCTCTGCCTGGCATGAGTGAGTATGTTCATTCTAAGTATTGTTTAAGCGACGGCTTTCTTGGTATTTTTTCACATCTTGTTTCCTCGTGATTCTTGAATCAGTCCCAAACTTCATTAGATGGGTAGACATTTTGATGTAAATGGAGCTCAACCTATTTATGTTTGTCAACCACCTTGGTGTATGACTTCATAATACTTGGTGACACCCTTGTAGTTTATAATATGATTGTAATGTTGTAATTATAATTCTCTCTTAATGTTCTTTCATATAAACCTTGGTTTTTGTATACTTGTGAATGCAGCATTGTATTCTTAAAACAGTGGTGTGATTCTATGCAATGGATATCATCGTAGTTTGTGTCCTTTGTGAAGTAATTTAGACCCTCTGTTGTCTTCATATTTCATTATCTATTTTCTAAGAAAAATATATCTCTTGTATTAGCCTCTGTATGTATTTTTTCTGTGATAGATCAATCCAATTGTCTTCGATTTTGTAATGATCTATGTATATTTGCCTATTTCCTTAAAGTTCAATTTTTTACCCCATTTGTGACATTTTCAGTTTTATTTTTTAATAGTTTTTGCATACTTACATTTTCCTGAGGTTAGTGTGTGTTGCATGAACATTGAGTCAACATTCTCACATCTGTTAGCTTGCCTTTTCTAGAATGGCTGAAGTTTGATGTGTGCTGCTTGATTCGTTTACAGTATATTGTCTATTCTTCTACCTTAATGTATTGATCACTGCTTTGAATTTTGTATTTACTGATTTTACTTTCGGGTTGTGTCTTATTTATCTGCTCAGCAAAAGGAGCTGAATATCTGGTGTTTAGGGAAACAGCACGACAGGAATGGGATAAAATGAAAACCTGTTACCAAAAGGTTTTTTTTTCTTTATGAACTATTCTTCTTTTGCTTAATCTTTTATTGTATTGGGACTTTGGGAAGGATAAAATGATGTGTACTTGTGTAGATTAATTTTTTAGCTGATCATGTATTCGTATGTTAACAACGAGGATTCAATAGCTGTTTGAAAGCTGTTGATAAAAATAGAGACAAATTTTTGCTTTATTGTGGGTTACTAACCTGGTGCCTAAACCTTGTAGGACCAGCCAAAGTAAAAATCAATGCATTTTTCTGTATGCTTCACTTTAAAAAAAAAGTCTTTAAGGTACCTAAATCATATACAGCAACACTTTTGGAAAACAATTCTTTTTTTAGGCAAATAATTACCTTTTAGGATTTCTTCTTCTTCTTCTTTTTTTTTTCTCTTCTTCTTTAAATGGCGGTACTTCTAAGCCATAATTTAATGTAGTTTGATATTCATTTCTTCATCATTTTGTCAACCAAAGACAATATAATGATGATTACTGGCCTTTGTGGGAAAATAAAACTCATAGGATGATCAGTGGTGGGCCAAGCTATGTCATTCTTTAAACATAATACTTTTAGGTTGTTTTTGACATATTCTCAAAAGTGGTTTGCAAATAGGATACAGTAGTTGCGGTAGTTTTTCTGTAATTGTGTTATACTTGACAAATTTACCTTTTAATTTATAAGAAACTCTTTAAAGAAGTATATATTATTAGATCCACCTTGTGTTGAGGTGTTTTCACCGAATCACTTACTAATGAGGCATTATATGCAGGCTGCTGCTGCATATTCCAATGGTGAAAAGAACTATGCTTCTTACATGTCAGAGCAGGTACCTTCTTACCTCTTAACTCTCAGCGCCCCCACCCCTCTCTATTTCTCTAGCCCCCAAAAAAAATAGTAGAGAAGTTTTTTTTGGTCTTGGCTTATGATACGAGCAAATGATAATTTTGTGGGGCTAAAAATCCTCCCAAATGTATGCTTTGGATTGTGTTATATTGCCCTGATGGTCTGGGATCATGTACTTCCCCATGGCCAATAGTTGGGAATTTTGTTTTCCTTCAATTTATTCAAAAATAAAATACTTCCTCCATTCACATTTAGTTGCAACAGTTTGATCAAAAGTGTGTGAGCTTTTTGGTTGAACTGTTGCAACTAAAAACCAACAGAGGAAGTAATAAACTTGATATAATGTTACTTTACTTGGGGATAATTTTGGAGTTTTAAGTCTTTCAATTGCTTTTTTAAAAAAATTACTATTTGAATTTGTGTATAGTACTCTGTGAATGACTGACTGCCCTTTTATCTAAGAAATCTGAGCTTTGCTTGCTTTAATGTATACTTATCCTCTCCTCATTTTGCGTTTTGAGATCCCTTTGGTGTGGGTGCATCTTATTCTAATTATGTTTTCAAATAGAATTGTTTTTTTTTTTTTTTTTTTCTTTTGCAATCCCCTATTACATTCTAAGCTAGTAACTATGGTCTTGAATATCAAACTTCTGTACTTAATACCTTTGTGTAGGGGTGGAGCTTCTTATCTCTGTCAAAGCTAGTAAATTTCCGTTTTATGATATTTTTTTTTTCCTTAGATCTTGACACTACTTTATGTTTTTGTTAGGGTAAATTGTGCAGTAAAATGGCTCGAGAAGCAGATGAAAAAGCAAGCATGCAAATTTTTAAGGCCAGGTTGCTTCATCAATGGGCATGCAATATAAGAGAGTTATGCTATATTTAGTTTGCTTCTTTTCACATCTTGAGAGTTGAGGCAATGTTATTTTTGCAGGAATAAGGGAATAGAAAATGTTTTGACAATTGATTTGCATGGGCAACATGTTAAGCCAGCTATGAGGCTTGTAAAGCTTCATCTTCTATTTGGAACATACATATCTTGTGAGCAGTTTTTTTTCTTCTACATTTACTTTTTATTTGGGGTTACTACATTTGCCTTGATAGTTCTCTTATTTTTGTTTATACAATTTCTGCTTTAGCTGTGCAATATATCCGGATAATTACAGGATGTGGGTCAAGTGGTCTTGGAAAGTCAATGCTGAAACAATCGGTATGCACTCACAGCTTCTTAGCTATTGTTTATAATGCAAACCATGCATCAGCTCCTTGTAAACATATTGTTTTCTCTTTGTCCACATGCTTTACATAATGAAGGTTTTATGTCTTTAGGGGCAGATGTTAGAAAGAAAGGTAAGGGATTAATAGATATAAATATATAATGCTCTATAGTCCTCAGAAAAAAAAAAAAAAAAAAAAAAGGATATAATGCTCTATTAGTGACTAGAAATGGGAAGTACTTTCCATTACATTCTTCAGTCTTGTGTTCTGGAGCTTTTTTTGAAGTGAAGGGCTTTAGGCAGGGTGTTTTGTAGCTAATTTGTTGTTTATATGGCTCAAGCTAAATCTTGCTGACAACTTGTAGAAAAATTGATGAGATTTCTATTGATTTTGCTATAGTTTTATCCAGTGATTAGATGAAGTTACAGAATTAGTTATTAAGTTTAGGAACTTGACTTGCTGCTTGTGGAATGAGGAGTGACAATCTAGTGGCCTTTTGGCTACCAGAGCTGACTCTTATGAAACTATATATACCCCCTTCCCAGATATCCATCATTTGCTTTTTGTTCTTTTGGTTTTGAAAGATCAAGCTATAGTTTCTGTCATGTGCTCTTGCCTGAAGTTTGGGGTAGTGAAAATTCATGTATGGGAGTATCTCGAGCCCATGTAAGATGTTTCTTTTTCTCTTACAGGAGCAATGTTAACTTTTCTAGGTGTTGAATTTTCAAGTGATACTATATCATTTTTTGTTTGCCAAATTTTTCCCTTTGCAACGTTTCAATTGGAAATTGATATGAATGCAGGTGGTTAACCTTCTCAAGAACGAAGGAATTGAGTGGAAGGAAGAGAACCAAGGTACAGTGCTTATAAGACTTGATGGACCAAGAGAGTTCAGTTTTCTGGATTCTGGAAATGACAGTGAGTCTGATTAGATTTACTAGTGCAGATTTGTATAAATTAACTGTAGCTTGTTGCTAGAATCTATAGAGGATGGACTCACCTGGCAAATGCTTGATGTGAGATAGAACATGTATTTATCATATGGGATGGCAGGAAAATAGAGGAATTTCATACATTAAGGGATTGATTTCATTTTCCAGCTATCCAGCTTTTGTAATTCTTGTACAAATTTATTTGGTTAATGATAATAAATTCTGGGATCTGTCGATTGCTGTCAATTATCTCTATTTTGTTATGTGTAGTGGTGTATATAGATTTTATTACTTGTGCCTGACTGCCTGGTGGTGCAGTTCACCTGCCCATCATCATAAACCTGGACATATGTGCATCTAGGCAGAGGTGCGTTGCACTGTGTTGTGTGCATTTTATGCTTCATCGGAGTGTGAGACCTGCTGCTGCTGCTAGATACAACAGTATGCAGACGCAGACTCACTTTTGTGATTATTTAGTACGGTACAATTCATGACTTTAATTAAAGGAAAACATAAAGTGGTCAAAACGTAGGAAACAAGCATAAATTCCCTCCATTGATTTTCTTAGGAAAACATTTAACATTCCCTCCATGTCTCACTTCTTTCACCCCTTTTCGGCTTTTATATTTTAATTTTTTTTTTGAGTGAAAATTGGTCAAAACGTAGGAAACAAAACGGTAGGAGTATAAAATGTTAAGCCATTTTATTTTGTCAAAGTTAACGACAGCACAGTTTTGTTCATCCCAGGTTAGATGAAGATACTAGTATACGACAATGTAATCCGTATGTATTTTCTTTCAATTATACAGCAAAAGTTCAAAAACTGCACGAAAAGACCATCCAAAATTACTAAATAAAACCCCGCCAATTTTATGCTGACGATTACTAAAAAAAAATATCCAGGTCCTTTGTCCATTTACGCGAAGTTTATCGAGAAAATTTCAAAAATCCATGTCTTCAACATTCAATCATGGAAACCCATGGAAGGTAATCATCCTCTCGATTTGAGATCCGACGGCCATGATCTTCGCCGGAAAACAGAATTTTCCGGCGGTGATGACTTTGATATCGAGCTAAGGAAGATGCTGAACCGCGGAGTAGAACGAGTTCAATCGTTGTTGGATCATAACACAGCGTTGATTCAGCAAGTTAATCAAAATCAACAGTCGAAGAATCCAGTTAATTTGGTGGAAAATGTTGATTTGATTTGTGAAATCAATGGAAATATTTCTAAGGTTCTGTCAATTTACTCTGATCGTTCGGTTGAGTTCACTAAGTTGGTTCGCCAGCACAAATTCATAATGAAGAGTCGCGGTTATGGCGGGAAAGAGGTGGTGGATGCTGTTATAGAGAGTGATGAATATCAAAGTGCTGAAAATTTTGGAGTAATAATCATCTACTTTTATCAAAGTAATCTATTTTGGTAGTTGAGTTTATATTAGAAGCTTAGAACTCTGTTGACAATATATACTATTAAGTCATTAGTAGGTAATTTACAGAAGTTTTATTTCGTGGTGATGAGTTATTTTGTGCTTAAAACAGAGTAAATATGTTTGATATATATATATATATATATAAGTATATAATTTTAGGATAGAGAATTTCAATTTATTTGTTATTATCTGAATGAAAGTAAAACATTGTCTGCTGTCTTCCTTGCTGAAATGTCAGCTGCAAGAATTTTTGTTACTTTCTGAAGTCGAAAATATGGAAACCTAGGTAAACATGGGAATGAAGTCTGATTGATTAATCAATGTGATCATCGAATGTTTGATGCTTCTACTTTTCATCATAAGCTTTCACTTTGCTTTCAAATCTTCTTTTGTAAAGCAAAATCTAATTTGAGTATAGAGCAGAGCAGCAAAATCTAAATGAAGTTTAGAACAGAGGCAAAATCTAACTCATTTATGAAACAACTCGTTCCAGCTAGTTATATGATCCAATGTTTACATGGAGATGAAAAAAAGGCGAGTTTAGCACTATGAAAGTGTCCAACATCTAAGATAGAAACTGAAGAGCAAAGTCAGCACATTCCACCAGTGTAAAGTGTTGGCCTATGGTTTTTCCTAATTCATCTCTGTTCGAGGATGGAATTTGGAGATGATGAAAGATTACAGAGGAATTTCTCCACTGTCAGCAATAACAACCTTGCTTTTAGGAGTACCATCCTGCCTTCCCTCAGCTTCCATCTTGTAGACCACATCCATACCGGAAAGCACCTTGCCAAATACAACATGCCTGCCATCCAACCTGCAATTCATACAAAAAATTTGTCAACAAACAAAAGAAATGGAAAATTTACTTCACTTATGGACATGTTTGCTACTATATTAAATAAAGAAAGGTTGGAGGTTCATTAGCAGTATGTATCATAATCAAAGCTGTACATATCAACAAAAGAAAGTTTCATTAGCTTAGGCTTCCTATTCCAACAAGAACAAGAATACAAAATCCATTAGCTCTTGTGCTGCACTTCAATGCATCAAGGTGACTATACAACAGCAGGGAGTAAGGGTCGGATTGGTTCGAATTGGAAGGAAATTCCTATAACAGAAATACTAGTTTTTCCATTTTCCTCTTGTTCTTAATTGGTTTATAAGAACAAGAACAAGAATACAAAATCCATTAGCTCTTGTGCTGCACTTCAATGCATCAAGGTGACTATACAACAGCAGGGAGTAAGGGTCGGATTGGTTCGAATTGGAAGGAAATTCCTATAACAGAAATACTAGTTTTTCCATTTTCCTCTTGTTCTTAATTGGTTTATAATTTCTTTCTTCTTTGCATGAAAGTGACTTGATACAGCAATAGGGAGCAAGGGTCAGATTGGTTGAATAGCAAAATATTAACTTTTCCATTTTCCTCTGGTTCGTAAAGGGGTTACTAATTTCTTTGGCTACAAAATAGATTCTAAGGATAAATTATGCAACATTTCCCTCCCTATTCATCACTTTCTTTTTGTTCCCTCATCTATTTTACTTCCATTCCCTCAAAATTCAGTTCAAAAAGTTATCTTTTCAAAATGCAGCCAACTGACATATAGATAGTGACATGCATTGGCAATACCTTTTCTTTCACTTGTTTTGTAGGGGAATTGTGAGGACTACTTGGCAAGATCAGAGATGAGGGATTATTGAAGTATTGAGCCAGTGGCATTATAGTATAGGGGAGTAAAGCACAAGTCATAAATTCATAACATAACTGGTATACCCATTTCTGAAGAATTTTTTCTTAGTCCTGTGATCTCAAGTACCTCTAAATCTCTAATAGATAATTTATCCATCAATCTTAATCACAAAAGCCCTCTACACTACCAAATCATTTAAAGGCAACAAAGTACTTTTTCTTTTAAAAGCAAGTTTTACTAACCAGCTAGTTGTTACGGTTGTGATAAAAAACTGGGAACCATTGGTGTTTTTACCAGCATTTGCCATAGATAGAAGACCTGCAAATACATCAAGGATAAAATTAGTTTGAAAGTTCTGAACAGAATACACATGGGATCCATATCATCAAGCAAAAAAATTTCAGGAATAGACTTAAATTTGAGATATCACAAGAAGATTTCCAATAATTTACACCAATATACCTGGTCCAGTATGCTTTAGCTTGAAATTTTCATCAGCAAACTTCTCTCCGTAGATTGATTCACCACCTCTTCCATCTCCAAGAGTGAAATCACCTCCCTGTATCATAAAACTAGGAATAATCCTGTGGAATGTGCTTCCTTTGTAGTGTAGGGGTTTTCCAGATTTCCCTATACCTTTCTCTCCTACAATAGCACACAGAACCATTATCAAAATAGGCACATCATGAACAACGCAGAATTACTCCTTGAGCTATTATTGACCCACATTTCACTACAGCAACTAAATAGCATTTACTACCAATTTCCTTCAAATCTAAATTTATCATCCTTTGATATTAAAGCTCAATAATCCATCATGACACAACTATAAGTGACACTTACAAAAAGAACATAGGATAATAAATAAATGACTGAAGGTTACTAACTTACCAGTGCACAATGCTCTGAAGTTTTCTAAAAAAAACAAAAAACAATAGAATAATCAGTGACACATTGTGATCATGAACCAAACAATAAACCAAATACAGCTAAAAGGTTCAAAAATTTACCAGCTGTTTTGGGAACTGTCTTGCCAAAGAGACCCATAACAATTCGACCTGAAAACAAATTATGAGTAACTTTAACACAAATGCTTAATTAAAAATTTCAGATTTTTAAATGAAAAGAATAGCTGCAAAAAGCAAATCTTTTTTTCCTCAAGAGATTGGAAAATCAACAATTAATTCCAAATCAAATCTCATGATCAGATAAGTAATTTCACAGTAATTTATTTTTTTTCCAAAAAAAAAATCGAACTTTTTTTTCAAAAATACAGTATTAAGCAAATCAATAACATAATATCAATGAGATGAGAAATTACCAGCTGGTTTTCCATCAATTTCAACATCAAAGAACACTTTGTTGGTCACTTCCTTCAGATCTTCCGATGATTTCTTCTTAGCCTGAATCAATTTCCCCAAAAAATTACAAACATTGTAATACCAAAAAAATTAACCTAAATTATTCTTAAATTAAATCAAGATGATCCAGAACTTCATATGCCTTAAACCCTAAAAATCGAACTCAATCAAAAGAAAAACTGCAAAAAATACGCAAAAATACATCAAAAAAAAGTTGAAAAATTGTACCTGAATTTGATTTAGGGTTCCAAAAAGAACAAAACTCCATAGAAGAGCAATGGTGATCGAATTCATTCTTGCCATCTTTCTTTCTCTCGCTTTCCTCTGTGATGAACTGACTGTAATTTTCTTTTATTTGTGATTTATTATTTAAAGAAGAAAAGAAAATGACAAGTCAGCCAATTAGAATATGACACGTGTCCTATTTAGGTGTTTGGACCATTTCTATTGGTTGGGATGCCGTCGGGCCAAATTCGACCTGACCCAACTAATTTTACCCGACCCGAAAATATTTGTTTTAACTGGAGAAATTATTTCCCCCTTCGAAAATAAAATCAGCAAAAAAAATTCCTCTGTTCTTTGTTCATTGGCTGGAAATCGGTGGTACCCGCCTTCAATCTTTTGTTGTTCTTAATTCTGTAATTTGAGTGACATTTTTCTAGGTAGATTGAGTGTAATTATTTGCAGAAGAAGAATAAAAAAGATAAGTTTTAATGGGGTTTTGGGAATGCAGATAAGGTGTTTGATGATTTGCTTATGAGAGAAATTAGACTTTTTTTTGAAGTTGTAAGATGAAAGTTTCTATACCAAAATCACGTTGTTTCTCATCATCATCATTACCATGGATTTCTCCTCTTCACTATCCTAAACCAAACCCAGTAAAGTCAGACCCTCCACCCCCACCTGAGCAAGAGTCTTACAAGAAATCGCGGTATATCTCTCATGAACGGGCAATAGACTTGATCAAACGTGAGGATGATCCTCAGCGTGCTTTGGAGATATTCAACAAGGTTTCGGAGCAAAGGGGGTTTAATCATAACAATGCTACTTATGCTACTATCCTTAATAAGCTAGCTAAGACGAGGAAATTTAATGGCATTGATGCTCTTCTTCAACAAATGATGTATGAACCGGCGTGCAGGTTTCATGAGGGTATTTTTACTAATCTTATGAAGCATTACTCCAAGTGTGGTATGCATGAAAAGGTGGTTGAGATGTTTGATTTGATCCGGCCTTATGTTAGGGATCGGCCTTCACCTAATGCAGTCAGCACGTGTCTTAATCTCCTTGTGGAGTCGAACCAGATGGATTTGGCACGAAAGTTTTTGTTGAATGCCAAGAAAAATCATAGAATGAAGCCAAATACATGTATTTATAACATCTTGGTCAAGTATCATTGCAGGCATGGGAACCTTGAGTCGGCCATTGAGGTTGTGAAGGAGATGAAGAAAGAGAAAGCGTCTTATCCCAATGTGATCACATATACAACACTGATGGATGGTCTATGTCGGAGTGGAAAACTTAAGGAAGCATTTGATCAATTTGAAGAGATGATCTCCAAGGATCAGATTGTCCCTGATGCCTTAACTTACAATATCCTGATCAATGGTTTCTGCCGAGGTGGTAAGGTTGATCAAGCAAAGAAGGTAATAGAGTTCATGAGGAATAATGGTTGCGCCCCAAATGTGTTTAATTACTCTGCCCTTATGAACGGATTATGCAAAGAAGGAAGAATTCAAGAAGCCATGGAAATGTTTGAGGAGATGAAGGCTTTAGGTATTAAGCTTGATACGATTGGCTATACTACTTTGATTAACTTCTTCGGCAGGGAAGGGAGACTTGAGGAAACGTTGCTGTTGCTCAAGGAAATGAGAGAAGTGGGCTGCAAACCTGATGCTATAACTTACAAAATTGTCATCGAAGCTCTAAGTAGGCAACAGAGGTTCAAGGAAGCTCTTCAGATGCTTGAAATGTTACCTTATGAAGGTGTCTTCTTAGACAAAGCTAGTTACAGAATCACATTGAATGTTCTGTGCAGTGTTGGTGAATTAGAAAAGGCTGCCTGGCTATTGAGTTTGATGCTTGGCAGGGGTTTCGTGCCTCATTATGCAACTTCAAATGAATTATTGGTTCGAATGTGTGAGGCTGGACGGGCAGATGACGCTGTTACAGCGTTGTCGGAGCTGTTAGAGGCTGGTTTTAGACCAGAGCCAAACTCATGGTTGCTTATGTTGGAGACAGTTTGTCGGGAGAGAAAGCTCTTGCCTACATTTATACTGCTTGATCAACTTGTTGAAGATGTGAATAACTGAGATGGCAACATAATAATATAAACATGGTGCGACCCTTAGCTCACTGTATGACAGTAATTTGGATCTAGTCCAATAATTTAGCCTATGTCTTTTTACATGTTCTAATATTCTCAAGATATTAACTGATCAGCTATTTCAAGTACCATCTCATGAAGCTTTAATTCAGTTTCTTGGCAGACAGATGCCTTTTCTTGTCCTTGTCAAATCGAAAATTTTGTATTCTGCCTGATGCTTGTGCTTTGGCCCTGTACTTATGTACTCTTCTACGCGAAACTTGTGATGCAGATGCTGCTGCTGCTGCTGCTGTATTCTTCTTCTATTTTAATGACCTTCTTGGATAAAGGCTACGAGGCCTATGACTCCTGTGATTAGGTAATTCGATTCTTTTCTAATGCAATCTTGATTCATCATTATTATGAGAACTGTCGTGCATCTTGAGGTTAGGCCCTCCTATGACTTGGCCAATTCGGCTAACTGCTTGTTTAGAAAATATTAGAGATTACATTGGATTTTAATTCTGTTCAATCTTCGACGCTCAATTCAGTAATTTCATGTAGGAGCTAAGCTCATTTTAAAGAACCTAAGTTTACAATCAAAACCATGCTGATATTCCTTATACTCCGTATGCTAAACTCTGATTTCCTGTCATCTCCGTGCATCTATCTATAGATTTCAACTATGTTATCCTGCAATTTACTTATCTCTTAACACACACGCACGCACGCACGCACACACGCACGATAACACTACACTTAGAGCATGTTTGGTTTAAGTTATTTTTGGGATGGGAATAGATTTAATTAAACTATTACCATTATTAAGTGTTTGATTAGAAGGTTTAGGTAACAATTAACATTACTTAGGGATAATGGTTTCCACTATTTGGTACTCCATCCATTTCGTATTAATCGCAACACTTTCCTTTTACATCCGTTTCATATTAATTGCAACACTTTTATATTTGGAAAGGACCCACTATAATTTATAATTTCTCTCTCCCACTAATCCCACTTTCACAAATATTGTATTCGTTATACGTAGTATATCATATTCGCATTTAATAATTTTATTTTATTTATTTTAAAATAAATTGTGAATTTTTTCTCATTCATTACATATTAAGATGAATTTCCTAATATCAAAAGATAATATTTTATATTTAATTAATTTAAACTTTAAAATCTCATTCGCCAATTTTACTTATGACATTTGAATTATTTAAGTCTAAAAGAAATTACAAATCTCTTATTTAATTGGAATTAATGCCTATTTAATAAATTATATTTTTATAAAATATTTTATTATAATCACTTGTCATATTATTATTATTATTATTATTATTATTATTATTATTATTATTATTATTATTATCTAATTCAATTTTTTTTTTTAAATATCAGTTGAACGTTAATTTTATTTTTTTAAAGTTTAGTAGTATATATATATATATATATATATATGAAATAAAATAAATTGTTTCTTTTCTCTTAGATAAAATTTTCAATATAAAAAGATAGTATTTTATTTTTATAATAAATTTATATTTTTAATCTTAATCTTACATGGCGTTTTAAAATAAAAATCCTATGTGGAATAATCCTATACATAACGCTCTAAAAATACTAATCCTACATAGCGCTCTAATAATTTTTTAAAAAATCAAAATCCGAGGTGGCTCTCTAAATCTTGGGAAAAAAAAAATCCCCTTTATATAAGTGAATGTGATTTTATTTTTTTTATTAGTATATTTTTGTAAAATATTTATTATAATCACTTGTCATATTTTCATTATTTTTTTTTATCTAATCCAAATTTTTTTAAATATCAATTGAATGTGAATTTCATTTTTTAAGTTTAATGTTTTTTTTATATATACAAAATAAAATAAATTGTTTCTTTTCTTTTAGATAAAATTTCTAATTTAAAAAGATATTATTTTATTTTATAATAAATTAAAATTTTTATTTTAATCTTACGTGGCGCTTTAAAATAACAATCATACGTGGCGTAATCTTATACGTAATGCTCTAAAAATACTAATGTGTGTATATATATATATATATATATATATATATATATATATATATATATATATATATATATATATATATATATATATATATATATAGTGCCCGGGCGATGCCTAGATGGTTGATAAAATTTTAAGATAACATTTTTATTTGAATGTTAATAAATACGATCATATAATCCTTATGATAATGTAGGATATTTAGACATACAATATCATATGGCTTATATTCATATAATAGGGTACTTTTTGTAGTTTTGTTTGTAAATAGAATTCTATGTTATTATTGACTTAAAATTACTTATATTGAGCTTAAATTATTTTCACTAAACTTAAAGTATTTTTACCAAACTAAAATTATTTCTACAGATTAAAAACTTATTTTTACTGATTCTCTATTATTTTTTTAAATCAATCAAATAACAATGCATTTTGTATGCGACTAGCCACACCATCTGGCCGGACAAAGTAACCCCTTATAAAACTGATCGAGTAACCCTTGTAATACTAACTGAGTAACATCTAACACTGACTAAGTAACCCTATCTACAACACTAATTAATTGAGTAACCCCTATAACACTCACGAAGTAACTCTTATAATAGTTGTTGATACGGTTTGACCAGCTATATATAAAAGTTTGTGATTAAATATATTATAAATGGATCTTATTTTAAAGAACTTTTTAAAACGATTTTGATGATGGAAATAGAATTGAGTTATTAGTTATATGATATTTTAAAAAAAAAGTTATGATTAATTTTGTATATATGAAATATTAGAATTCTATTGATAATAAAACTCTATACAACAATTTTATATTAAAAAATCTATCCAAAAATCGCTTACTTAGCATCATACGTGTCACAATAATACCTATTTATCGCCTCCGGTGCGACACTTGGCGAAAATCTGGAATTCCAAATGTCGTTGTCTCGTGACCTGGCTGCGAGACCGGCTTTACTTATTAGTGATATGATATTAGATTTCTCTTTCTTACCAACCCCATTTACACTACTTTTTTTATTATTTCTCTCTTCTACTAACAATACTTTATATTATAAAAGATCCTTTTTGGACCTCACCCTATAAATTTTCTTAAATTTTGTGAACATCCTACTATTGCGATTAAAACCTAAAGTAACAATTACCCTTATCTTCCTCAAACAAAAAGAAAAGGAGCTATGGTTAAGTAATTCCTTTCCATGGTTAAACCAAATAAATGAAAATGTAAGTTTTAAATAATTCTATTCCTCCTTATTTATTTCCTTTTCACTTCATTTCCAATATATATATACCAAACACCCCCCTTGGTACTATACTTCGTATATCTTTAATGAAAACTAATACAAGTATGTTATTTTCTGAACCACTTTTAAGTTTTAACCAACTTTTCCCTTTCATATCAACCATTTTTATTTGTTACTCCGTATTTATTACTAAAATATGATGGTGTTCCGAGAAGCACAACAAAAACTGCGCCTTTATGGATTAAGTTATAACAAGTATATGACATTTGAAATAGGAATATTATAGAAAGGTAAAATCACACAAATTTATACAAGAAAGCTAACACGCATAGAAGGGGAAAAAATCAAGATAACAAATGGCTTGAAAGAGTACATTGTATCGTACAATTACAAAAACCAAGTACACTGGTAGTAGGAGTAGTTTCTTAATACGTAGTACATATTTTTAAGCAACTAGAACATAAAGAGCATATATAATTCCCGGTATGTAGCCCAATATTGTCAATAACAAACATATCCAGAATTCAACCTGCAAATGACAAACATAGAATTATAATCAAATTCTATAATTGTGATATTCTATAATTGTGATATAATGTTATAGATTCAATTTCAGATTTTGGTACTTGTATTTATCATCTTACAACTTAAGTCTAATTCTCGCTTGTTAAGTTGTTAATGCATTATTTGAATAATTAATATCTCTAATCATCATCAATCATCAATAAGTAAAAGATTAAAAAATTTGATATCATAAGAGTATAAATTAGGTTTCAGCCCCCTTCCAATTGTTGTTACGGGAGATCGAGCACGCAATTCTCCCTATCAAATGCAACCCCAATCAGGCAATCACCTTTGTACCAACAACCAATTGGTAATATAAATGGCTTGTCTATGCATAATTTGAACCATTAATATCTCATATCATCAATAAGTAAAAAAATAAAGTAATTGTTTGTATGAGAATATAAATCAAGGCATAATTAACAAAATCCCACATAATCGCTTCGTATTTATTTTATTAATACGCAGTACAACTTATCAAAGAAAGTGTAATAGTCAAAGTGATGCAAGAAAAAAAACGGAGGAAGTACGTAAAAGCGAGACTGACCGCGATGCCATAACGGAGAAAGACACCAAGTGGTGGCAGCAGAATTGCAAGTATGACTTCCACAAACGTCTCAGATCCCATTCTTTTCTTATCACTTGGTATTCTTCAATTGTGGTTCTGTTTTTGTTGTTCTCCCTTCCACCTACAATTATGACTACTAGTACAACAAAATATCTAAGCCTAAAACGTGTCGTTTGGAGAGTTTACAAAACGCCGCGTCGAAGAATTAATTCACATGCATGACACACGTGTCGTCGTTAGAATCATCATATATTACCGTCTTATCCTTCATGTAGGTCTTCCTTTGGATCTAAAAAATCTGAGTTTGGATCGATCTCAGAATGTTTGTTAACCACCTGAAGCAAAAGGATAGGATATGTAAGTACTTTGTTCTCCGGAAGTCAAATTTAAAGGTTATATAGTACATGAAATAACACTAATTTTGGAGCTTTTGGGATCTAGTGTCAAAAATTCATGGAATCACATAGTATGAATGTAATGTTATATTATGTTGTTTTGAGTTATATACGACCATTTTTTAGTCACATAAAGGTATACGGTGGTTTTTAGTTAATGATAAGAGGTGCACAAAAAAAGAAGTCATATTAATAGTTTATAGGTAAAGTGGAGGATTTCTCAAATGGCCTCTCGAGGTGTTGTAGGGTCCATGGGATCCACCCTGACCTCTTTGCTTTACGGGTCCGAAAAAGTAAAAAATAGTCCAAATTTAAAGACTATTATCCACACATTTGGGTTAATTTTGGAGATTTCAAAACTCGATGTCCAAAAAATCGAGATTATAAGAGATGCCCTTCTAGGTCATTTCAATATTGTTTGGAACTAAATATAATCACTAGTCATTCATATAAAAGATTGTGGTGGTTCCAAATTAATCAAGGGAGATGTGTACGTAAATAGCTAGATTGACGGTTTAAAGGCAAAATAGAGGATTCCATTCACCCAAAATGGTTTCCTGAGGTGTTATGTGGTCCATGTAAAAGACCTGACTTATTTCCTTCTCGGGTCCAAAAAGTAAAAAGTTGTCCAAAATTGAAGGCTATAATCCACGTGTTTGGACCAATTTTAGAGGTTTCAGGGCTTGGTGTCAAACAATCTTGGGATTATAAAGGATGTGTCTAGGGGTCATACAATGTTGTTTGGAACCATGTATGACCACCAATCGGTCATATAAAGGCCTGTGGTGGCCTGAGTTAATGAAGGGAGGCATGTATGTAAATGGCTAAATTGATGATTTAAAGGCAAAGTGGATTGTTCCAACCACCCAAATAGCCTCTTGTGGTGATGTGGTATCCATGAGAAGAAACCCGACCACTTTTCATTTTGGGTCCGAAAAAGTCTAAAATTGTCCAAAATTGAAGGCTATAATACACGAAATCGGATCAATTTCAGAAGTTTCAGGACTAGGTATCGAAAAATCACGGGATTGTTGGAGATGCATCTTGGGGTCATATAATATTATTTAGAATCATATATAACCACTAGTCTGTTATATAAAGTCACATGGCGATGGTGGCCTTGAGTTAATAAGAGAGGCATAAGTTGTAAATAGGTAAATTAACAGTTTAAAGGAAAAGTGGGGGTGCCAATCACTTAAATTGACTCCTATGTTTAGTGGGTCTATGGTAAATAACTTGACTATTTCCTTTTCTGGTCCAAAAAAGTCGAAAATTGTCTAAACTAAAGATTACAGTCCACACTTATGGGAAAATTTTTCTAAAATTGAAGTGGAGGTGTGGGGTGTCCCCTGAGGTCACATATATAGGTTGGTTTGATAGGCTTATCAAGTCTTGAGAATGAGTTTGGTTTATCTATGTGGCTATTTCGAAATAATGTTCCATTAGTATTGAAGAGTTGTGAGAGATTAACCAACTTGGTATCCGAGGGTCCTATAGGTCTATGAAGTCCTTCATTTTCATTGGTGTTGTTGATTATTTCCAAATCCATTATTTACCATAACATACATGTATGATGTATGTATATTTGTAAATTGTAATTGTGTATATGTATGACTGTTTGAATCATCAAATGGAGTATATTTCGTTTAAACAACCAAGATCGAGTACTTCGAATGTAGGAATGGTTTATTATGTAGAGTAAATACTACTCTCTTCATTCCTTAAAAATTAATTGACATATCACACAACAATATATAATTTGAACTAGTATAAAGAGTACGATTTTGTATGTGGTTGAATGAATTATTCATTATTTTCTAATCCAATATATTTGACATAAGAATTCCTGTCAAAAAAAAAAAAAAAAGATATAAGAATTATAAAAAAGAAATTTTGCATGTTACTATGAATTACATAAAAGTGATGTGGCTTGTGAAAGTTTCAACTAACAGTCACCAACTACTATTCTTAGGAATAAGAAGGGTAAGTACCAAATGAAGACTGACAATCTTCTCTACTTTGTACCTTCACCTTTGTAAATGAACCCTATGAATCCAAAACAATTATCTGAATTTTTCTTAAAATGGAAGAACAAGAGCATATTACAATACATTCAACATTATCACCAATTAATCATGATAATAATGCTCCTTCTTCTTCTGCATCCCCTGCTTTACAGCTAGAAGAATCAGAGCAAACAGAGGTGCACAATGAGCAAGATCAGCAGCAACAGCCTCTCGATAGGCCGCGGCTTTGGCATTGGCAGCCAAGTCTTGTTTTCCAGTGGTTTCACATAACTTTCATCAGTTCGGGTTCAGATGATGCTAGAAATGATGCTTGGTCTTGTTTAATTGTGCTACTCACTTTCTGGTTCCTTGGTTAGTCACTTAATTACTGTCACTAAATTTACTTATTTTTTTCCTAATTATTAATGATTTGTTCTAACAATTGAAAGCTAATAATTTTCACTTGGGGTTTGCTTAAATCTTTGAATTTTCCAACCAGCAGCATCTATGATTCTGATTCTTGGGTTCTATGGATCATTTAACTTACAACTGGGGCCAAATTGCTCATTCTTGATCAAAACCAATCCATTCTTTGTGCATTCCATTAAGGTTATTTTCCCTTTATATAGACTATATATTGGGTTTCTTCTCCATATGTAATTCTATATTTCCGTGTATCTCGAAAACTTTTCATTGCGCCTTAAGTATGGGTGTCGATTCCCTGACACTTTGACATGGATATGTTCACATGACACTTCATTTTGTACCAAAAAACGTAAAATTTTAATTTAATAATGAGTTTGAAACTTGGACACGTACATACTCCAGTCTGACACAAGCTAAGTACTGGATTTTTAGTACCATATATAGGTGGTATTGTAACAAATCAATTACTGATTTTTGTCTAACATGTAGGCACAACAAATAGATGAACAAACGGCTGGGCCAATGCTTTACGGCTTCCATGAGTTACCTTCACTAGATGTTGAAACCACTTGGTCACAAAATTACACTGTATTTATAGAGCCTGATTATCACAAGGTAGGTTCTCCACACAATCATTAGTTGTTTTCTTTGTCTATCTCTAGCTTAAAGGCATTGAGGTTCATCATGTCATGCAGGAGTGGGCTTATTACCTGAATGCTGGATCTAGAGTTGATGTATCCTATGATGTCAAAGTCCCCGACTCTGCCTCCTTGTTTTTTGTAATTGCTCGAGGTACAGGATATCTCAATATTTCAACATAATTTTTGTAGTAGTTATATCCTGCGATCTCAAGCTGATGCATCCTACTATGAGCACATTACAATATGTTGAAGGGTTAACACTTGAAAGAATTTTCGAGTGGTAACACCCAGTTGATTAGATGTTTCAGCTTATCTGGTTTACTTGTTTATAATCTGCAGGTAGAGGAAATCTACTAGAGTGGATAAGTTCTCCTTCCTATCCTAATACAACCATGTCTTGGCACATAATCTATGGTATGGTGAAAATCATTGAATATAATCAACGTTAATTACTTTCCTGTCTTAGATAACTTCTAATTCATTCCCATTTATGTGCATAATTAATTTATCTTGTGCAGGAAGCGGTAATATCGCACTAGACATCAAAGAGTCTGATACCTACTATGTAGCAGTTGGTAACTTGAACCTGGAGACAACAGAGGTGATCATGCTTATTACCAAAAGATTATTATATCACCCATCAAATTGTCTGAAGAAAGGGTGTTTAGCACAGAATTTTTTTTACATCTGTTAAGTGAATTAAAAAAAAAAAAATCAGAGACACTGACGAGTTTCATTCTAACAGGTTGACTTGAACTTTACCATAATGTCTCTTCTGTACAATACTACCGATGCCCATTTCAAGTGCTTGTTAAGGGATCGCACTTGCAGCTTCAAGCTTATCCTTCTGAAGCCTAGTGCGGCTGTCCTAACATCTCCTGGTCCAGGACAGGTAATAATTATCGATTTACCCAAACTCGAGCGCACCCCCCCCCCCCCCCCAAAACAGCCGTCCTCAAATTTTAAACTCCTTCACATATACAACTAGATTTTGCTTCCATTTAATGCATTGGTGAGTAGGTGTACAGGTCCTTTTCACTGTGCAACTAAAGTGAACCCCTCTTTTTAAAGACGGCCTAAAAACTGAAGTGTGATGTTACTGCTATCATTTTACCCCTATATTAGTACACAAGTGCTTGAAAACACTATTGTTACTCATCTTTCCTAATTGCTTCCAGGTTAAGAATGATAATGATTGGTATGTCCAAGTTTCTTTTGGACCACAATGGGTCACATATTGTGGTGGGTCATGTAAGATTTCGGCATCTCAATACCCTTTTAAGGAATACGCTGCAGTACAATTGATTATATTTGTGCATGCTAGACTGCTAGTGTATAAATTTATATACAGATGAATGATGGATCATTAATGATGGAATGCAGGTATAGTTGCAGCACTCATTTTAGTATTATTCAGATACCTTTACCATTTTCAATCTAACACCGAAGATGAAGCTGGAAACCAAGAGAACGAAAGTGTAGCTGACAGACGACAGCCATTGCTTTCCCATAAGAACAATGATCACTCAAATTGGGGCTCATCTTATGACTCAATCCCCAGTGATGAGGATCAGGGTCTTGAAGACAAGATGATTTCTGAGGACTCCCTTGAAGGGGAAGTCTCAATAGGAAGAGAAATTCATCATAGCCATAATACTCGTCGTTTATGTGCTATATGCTTTGATTCTCCTAGGGACTCTTTCTTCCTACCTTGTGGACATTGTGCTGCTTGTTTCAGCTGTGGATCAAGGCAAGTTTTAGTTCTCAACTTATGCTTCACAATCCAAGGCCTCATTCTCTTCAACTTATGATATAACTAAGCTACTACAGAATATCTACATATTCTAGCAAGGAAAAATCAGTTATAATCAGTTAAATTTAGTAATTGCATACATTCAAGTATACAATCAAAACACTATTGAATTAGTTTTTACAATTATAATCAAGTAAAAAGAACAAGGTCGGCCTAAAAACACTCAATTTATTTCCATTATTTTTGACATGGCTTTCTGATCAGTTTGTTGTTTGTGTAATAACCTCTGGAGATCTACTTTGCAGGATAGCTGAAGAGGCAGGTACATGCCCCATATGCCGTAGGAAGATGAAGAAAGTGAAGAAAATATTTTCGGTATGAGAACAGTTTAGGTATAATTGGTGTGAACATTAAGTTCATCAGCCTCCATTGAAGAGTATTACTGTAATAGAATTAAACTCTTTGGCTAGTAAATGAATGTAACAGGGAATTTTAAAAGGTCGTAGGCAATTTTCAGGGTGCCTAACCTAAAGTTTTGTTACACAGGCAACCCATGCTACTGTGACAACATAATTAAACCTCTATTTTCAATGCTTTTAGTAGTTTAACTTAAGTTTGAACTATACACTTTCCCTTCTTTTTATATTTAGCTCAAGTGATTTCGGCCTTACAAACAATTAAGCAAACTCCCCTTCATCCCTAAATAAATTCCACGTACATTTGAATATGGGGTGTCTAAAATTATTTGAATTTGTCATTTTTAAATTTATTGAGAAAAGTTCATAATTTTTTCACAATGTACATCTCTACCTTGTCGTAAACAAAAAATTCAAAAGAATTGACGTGATTTCTTATAAAATGTGTGGAGTAAACAAACCAACTATCTTTATATATGTACTTGATTTTTTTATTTTTTTTTACAGATGACATCTTTTTAAGACGGATGGTAAACGTTAGAAAAAAGGACGAATGATGAGCAATTTCCATGCTATCAAAAAGTGTGTGGATAACAATAATGTTAGGTAGCTTGCCAATATGTCCTTAACAATCACGGACTTTATAGGAATGGAATGTGTATAAGTGAATTAGTGAATTACCCATTTTTCAAGTTGTCTTTACTCTAAGCTCAATTTGTCATGATTTGCAATTTGCAATTTTGCATAGTACTCTAGTTTGTGATAATTGGAGGAATTAGCCTGGAAATAGGATCATGGTTAGTTGGTTGGTTGATTGTTGTTTACATTAATGTTAATTTCTCGTCAACATTATTAATTAATACAAACTTGATTGCATAATTAAATTTTCTAAACCGAAATTAAATTGATAGAAAGGACGAGTTATTAATTAAATAATTAGTTTATTGTAATACGGACTTAACTACTCAAGGGATCAAAGATAACGCCAAACTCATGACACTACTTCTCTCCGCCTTAAACAAATGATTTTTAAAATAATTTCAATTTAGTATTTAGCAAAAAAAAAAGTTAAAAATAATTTAAATTCAAAAAACTAATTTCATTTCAATAAAATAAAAAACGATAAAAAGGCACATTTAATGTATAATTTTCTATACACGTAGCCACCATTTCTTTAATAAAGTAGATTAGACTTAATTCGACACTGATAATTTTCCAATTTAATAATCATTACTCCAAATTAATCCCAACCCAAGCTAGCCAGCTTAGCTCACTCAACCGGGACCCACTCGAAGTGATCACTATTGTTGGCGGGAACCCAACACCTTGACACCTGGGACCAACTAACAATAACTACCTACCCAATCTAACCAATAAGGCAAAAGTAGTAGGACCCAAACACAAAAACAGCCAAAAAGTTTTAGAGTTTGATCATAGTACAACAGAACCAGTGGTTTAATGTAATTGGCCAAAGATCGATTTTTTCGAAAGATAGAGAAAGTCAATAGGAGAAATTAACGAGAGATATCATGAGTTTTAGCGGCAACAATATCAACAGAAATGTGTGCTTCTGTTACCACTTTCTTAGCTCACCCTTTACATTATTCTTGTTCGTTTGTTTAATTTGGATTTCCTTAGTTTTTCGCAACAAATTTGAGATTAATTATAATGGCAATGGGGTTGCGTTCCAAGCTTAATCATGGCAATTCTTCGCTCCCTCGTTCTCCTCCTTATCTCTTTTCCTCTGTTTGTCTCTTGGCTTTTCTCTCTCTTGCCGCTCTTCTTGTTCTCAAGGTGTTTGTTTTATCTATCCTATTTCTTTGTTTTTTCGTGTTTTCATTCAGGCATTTTGTCGAACACTTGGTGATCGTATGATTATTCGAGGGTCGGGGTTCATGATTTATTGTTCTAATCAGATGGGGTTTTGTTTTATGAGATTATTACAGTGTTGGTTCTGATTTTGGGGTTATTACCAACAATGAATTGAGATCTGATGATAATTATGAGATTTTTTTTTTTTTTTTTAATTGGTATAAAGCCTTTTTGCTGGGATTTTTTTGACGTAGATTTCTGGGTTTTTTGTTCTGTATTAAAAGATGATATTTTGTCTTCATCTTATTATAGATTGTGCATATTTCTAGAATTGAATAACATGTGGATGAATCTATAAAATATTGTATTGTTTTTCTTTCTTCTTATGGAAAAAAGTGTAGTTCTGAACTAAGTATAGTAATATTAGTATATTTATATATATGTTGGGGTTGTTGAGTCATGTGCGACTGGACTTTCGGATTTGTTTCTTGTGTACTGATTTTATGAGGTCTGCTTGCTGTATCAGATTGTTATATGGAAAATGTTGCCACCTTATCGTTTATCAAAACAGAATTTGTGTGAATGATCCATGTGATTGGCAAATTTGATTGTCAAGCTTAACCCATGACTGTCTTAGGACGTTAAGATTAATGAACTGTAATCATTTTGCATTGTCGGTCTAATGAAAAGAAGCATTTTGTTTGACAGGTTGATGATGTTGCATATCAGACGAAGACAGTTGCAGGACACAACTTAAAGCCCACACCATGGCATTTGTTTGAGCCAAAAGTCTTTGATGAAGGAACGAGCTATTCTAGAGCTACTAAGATCGTACAATGCCAATATTTCCAGTGTCGCTCTAATGTCATCCCCAATTACCCACAACTTGACCCGTCTAAACTGGCATCATGTCCAGCATTCTTCAGATATATACACAGAGACTTAGAGCCATGGTCCAAGAGCAGAATAAGTTTACAGCGTGTGATGGAAGCAAAGGAGTATGCAGCTTTTCGAGTTGTAATTGTTGGGGGTCGATTATTTGTGGACTTCTATTATGCTTGTGTACAAAGTCGTATGATGTTTACTGTATGGGGGTTATTACAGCTTCTTAAAAGATATCCTGGCCTGGTCCCTGATGTTGATTTGATGTTTGACTGTATGGACAAGCCTGCAATCAATAGAACAGAACATCGTTCAAGGCCATTGCCACTTTTCCGGTACTGCACTACTAATGAACATTTCGACATCCCATTTCCTGATTGGTCTTTCTGGGGTTGGTAAGTTTCTTTTTAACACTCTTGTTCACTGGTAATTTCTATATGTTATTGGCAACAAAGGACTATTTGATCAGTTCAATCAATTCTTCAATGACTTCAGTTGCTGCCATTAGTTTGATGTAGTGGTATTGAAGCAATTAGTAACACAAACTTGGCTTTGTATGTCGGTCAACCTACCTGGAACATGTTGCTTCATTATTAGAATGTATATTTTGAAGTCTAAAAATAGGTACATGCCACCACTATGGAAAACACTCAGTTCCTCCTCTTTCCTGAAGATGCCTGAGCAATGAATGGTTTTACCTACTGTATGTCGTGTCTGGCCTTCTCTAAGAAAAGTTGGTTAAATTTTTGTAAGGCCTCGAGAGGACACTTGTGGATGAAGATGCAAACAGATGTTTTGAAAGTGCTAGGTAGATTTTGAGTAACTAGTATTCTTTCTGTAGTGTTATAGGTTATAGGTTTGGGGGTGGAGGAAGATAAGGGGAAGCTCCATCCTTGAAAACCTATTTGGCTGGATTCTAACCCCCAACTCCCCAATCAACCATGATTAATCATTTGAGCTATATGAAATAGAAACTCAGTGCAAGTTCCATCAGCTTATGTTATGATACAGTTTGTTTTGATTGGCCATGTTCAATAAAGTAGCTGCTTGCAAATTGCAAACATGACAATAGAATTCTAGTAAACATGCTTGACCTAAACGACCTTTGATACACTTGTTGACCTCTGTGGAACTCTTGTTATTTAATTGATAGCATATCTGAGTATCTTGCTTGTAGGATGGTAGGATTTATTTCAACCATCTCTTTTCGTGGAATAAACAGACTGTACTATCTTCCTGCATGTATCAAACTAACTTTTGTAACTGAATATTTCTCAGGCCCGAGGTGAACTTAGGACCATGGGATGCGGAGTTTAGAGATATAAAAAGAGGTTCTCGTTCTAGAAGCTGGCCAAAGAAATGGCCTTATGCCTACTGGAAAGGGAACCCAGATGTTGGCTCCCCAATCCGTTCAGCCTTATTGGAGTGTAATAATACTAAACAATGGAGGACACAGATCCTTCGTCAGGTGAGAAGCCCTACATAGTACATATGCCCTTACCTCCCTATCCACAGTAATAATATCTTTGTCAGGGCATTAATTTTAGTGATCTTTCAAAAGCTAGGTTTAATTTATCTTGTTAGTCCTTGTTGTAATATACAGGATTGGGGAGAAGAAGCAAGAGCCGGGTACAAGAAGTCGAAACTATCTAGTCAGTGTGATCATAGGCAAGCCACTCTCTTTAAATTTCATCTTCAAAATCATTCCATACAGATAGAAAATGCTGATTTATTTGTGCCAGTACATAGTTTTAATATAGTGTCAAGACTTTACTGGCACTAAGGAAAGGAGTTTGTCTTAACAGGTCTCAATTCTTTAAAATTATGACCTAAGCAGCTTGTAACACCATGATTGTAGGATGCTTGGATGCACCTTTATCTGTTCTCTCTTTACTGTTGACAAAAATTAAGTGAACACTTTGCTGTTAGAATTTACTGGACTTCTAACGGCTTTCCAAACACATTGCTCCTAATAACTTGTAGGATGCTTGGATGCACCTTTATCTGATTTCCCTTTGAGCTGTTCACTTTTTATGTTTGCAATTTCGCATACACTGGCATTATTCTTATCACTCTACATAAATAAGTTTTAGTTTTAGATAAGGGACAGCTAGCTTGTACTGGGCATATAAGCTCAAATTAGGGGCAATATGTTCATGTAACTAGATAAAGGCTACCTAAGCACAATTTTTTCAACGAAGATATATTAGGTGAATAGAACAAAGCCGGTCATGATCTGTTTCTTGTTAGTGTTAGAGGTATGGCACATCAGTAGACCTCTGGCTTAACACATGTTACATGTTTCAGGTATAAAATTTATGCTGAAGGGTATGCCTGGTCTGTAAGTCTCAAATACATACTATCATGTGGCTCCCTTACACTGTTAATAGCTCCTCAGTATGAAGATTTCTTTACCCGTGGCCTTCTGCCGAAGAAAAACTACTGGCCTGTACCCCGTACTGATCTATGCCCAAACATAAAGCAGGCTGTCGACTGGGGTAATTCACACCCTGCTGAGGTAGCTTGACCTTTCTTTCCCCTCTTATTTTTCTCTTCTTGTTTGGCAAAATCAATCTGCTGCCAGACATGGCAATAATTACTAATGTCAGAAGTTTTGCTGAAAACAGGCTGCGGCTATGGGAAAAGCTGGTCAAGATTACATGGATACCTTAAACATGGACCGTGTATACGATTACATGTTCCATCTCCTTAAGGAGTATTCAAAGTTACAAGACTTCAAGCCAATTCCACCTTCATCTGCCCAGGAAGTCTGTATCGAATCTTTGCTTTGCTTTGCTGAGCCAAAGCAGAAGCAGTTCCTAGAGCAGTCAGCTACGTCTCTTGCATCTATGCCACCATGTGTCCTCCCTAATGCTGATGGCAGGATACTAAAGAGGTGGAAAATGCTTAAGGAGAGAATAATGAAGGATGTCGCCCAACAAACGTGATAGAGCTCCATCGTTCAGTCACCATCTAAGTTACAAGGTTAGCTATTGTTAATGGGGTGTCAATTATCATATGATATGCAGGATATAACTTACTGGAATCTTATCAAATGAAGCCAGTTGATGCCCGCTTTAACAGTGCAAAAAGAAAAGGCTACACAACACAAAATTGATGTGTTTTTTTTTTTTTTTTTTCTCATCCTTCTCATTCTCTTTGATGATGGATGTTTATGTTATACAAGTATATAATTCCTTGTTAGTGGTTTGGAAAGCAATGATAAAAACACCCTTAGGATAATAGGATTTCGACTTTTTAGTCCAATCCTGAGGCTTTTATTTATTTATTTATTTATTTGGGTAGATTATTCAATTTAGGGTATTGTGGTCTATTTCTTACAATAATAAGAGGTTAGTTTTATAATTATAAGAAAACATCCAAGATTGGACTGTTTAACGTCGATCCCAGGGATCTGGGATCAACTAGGAGTTTCTCTGATTATGGAAGAGGCGGTATGGTCAGTTGATTTGTACTAGAAATGCTACTGATACACTTATACTTGATAGTTGCAGTGCATATTTCCAGTTTCCTTTGGTGCAATTTAAGCTCTCTAATATATTTTTTTTCTTCTTGTTTAGCTCTTGAACAAATTTACATTTCTCTCTATCTTGAATTCAGTCATTAAATTTGTGCAGCTTTCAGACAAATTTATTGATCTCCTCGTACATTTTCACAATATTATGTATCTACAGATCTACTCAATACTCATCTTGAATATGATTAACTCAAGTGAGCAAGGACTATTTTTTTCTTTTCTTCCAACCAAAGATGGCTTGGATAAAGAGGCAGAGCTAGTTCATCTTTCCCAAAATAATTGGCTTACTAGTTGCAAATTTGATGTGATACATAAATTTTTTTAAAAAATAATAAAAAAATTGTCACCAACCAATGGTCATATGGTTCCAAACATTATATGACCCTAAGATGCGTCCCCTTCAATCTTGTGAGTTTTTTACATCGAGTCTCTAAATCTGCATTATTGTTACAATTTTGTATATTATAGCCTTTATTTTTGAACAATTTTCGACTTTTTCGAACTTAGAAAGAATAGAGGTTGGGGTGATTCTCATGGACCCCACAAGTCCATGGGTGAGTGGAAGACCATTAGGATGAAACTGTCTATTAACTTAAGGTATCATGAGCCTTTATGCGAACGACTAATTTTCGTTTTCATAAATTTGAAAAACTCCCTTAACTCAATGGTTTTGGGTCGTGCCTTATGAGTAGCCGGTGTGTTTTTTTTATCTAACTAGGGCCCAACCCATAACCATGGCTAAACTCATTCACCACAACCATGCCATTTTGTGTTAGACAGCCCAACACGATCTAACGTCATTTTAATTATATACTGAAAATTTTGTACTCAAAAAATTGTTGCAATTGTAAATTTTATATGTTTTAAAGTGGTTAGTAGGCAGCCAAGTAGCACCTTTGCTCTTTAAAAAAAAACCTAAAAACAACTTGGTAGAGCATAGTGACAAACATCCCTATATATCAACTTTTGTTTATGTGGTGTTAATAAAGATTATATGACTACCATTTAAAAGAGGGAGACGAGTCAAAATATGACTTTCATATCCATATTTTCTGTCAATTTTGGCCACTTCCACTTCTCACTAAAGTTAATTAGTGGTCTACATTATTAATTAGGAGAAACTATTAAAAAAAAAATTAAAAATGACATAAAGGTAGATTTTGTGACACACTTTAATTTGTTTGTGGAGGCTGGAAGAGATGGGAAACTAGCGGCTTTCCAGTTTCCACTTTCCACTTTCCACTTTCCACTCCCATTTTTATATATTTTGCATATACTAAAGTAATGCTGTAAAGTATCAATCATAATAATAAAGAAACACAGGAGAATTTAGTCCACAAGCGTATCTACAATGATTAAAAATGACTACTTTGCCTGGGATTTTTGAGGAAAGCAGTGACGTATAGTTGCTGAGGGCTAGGCTAAGATATTTGTTATTCCAGAGTGCCCTCAGACCACTAGAGCATGCCCTCACCTCGGTATGTGTCGACTACATTGGCTCAATCGAGTTGAGATGGTCATGGCATAGCGTCTCTATACATTATGACATCTATGCAAATATTTTTGAAAGTAGAAAACAATAGGCTGTAATAAAATAGTTGAATGTATCATTGGTAAATTATTACGGTAACGCATTACATAATTGTTTAAAAATGATACCTAAGATGCTTAAAATAATGCACTAAAGAAGTAAATTAAACTAACATAATGTGAACCCATCCCACTTTTCTATCTTTTCCTCCTTTGCATGTCTGTCAATTAGCAGATTCGACCTATTCTTTATCTCTATTTCCCTTTTATTCTCACCCACATGGTCAATTATATTTTGTAAAAAAAATTTAAAATGCAAGTATATATCTTCATGATTTTATTGTTTTACCCGTTGGCATTTAATTCCTCCTTAGGAGACATAGGCCAACTATGGGGCTGAGGGCCAAACCACGAGATTAGAACTTTGGAAATAGTATGCAAAGACAAAGAGAGCATTTGTACAAAGGAAATAATAATAACCAAATGTGGCTCATTCAAGTAGGTTTATTTATATGCTTTCAAAAAAAAAAAAAAAAGAGTAGGTTTAGCTATATGGAGCCGTAAGGGCTGCATATAAAAAGCTAAAAGTGAAAAGAATAAACATTAAATAAATATTTATTACACCGATTTACTCGTGAATTATTGATAAATACTCAACTTTATACTAAAAAATGAGGTATATTAAATGTTTATATGCAGCCCTTAGAGCTACATATAGCATTACCCATATATATATATATATATTTGTAATAAAAGTGGAATAATTAATGTGAAAGTCTAATTGAATTTTTTTTTTTCTTTTTGAAGAAAAAAGTCTAATTGAATTTTTATTTCTCATAAACTTATGTAAATCATTTTTTCCTTAACCAAATTATGTTGATTTATGTAATTCTATACAAGTATTACTTTTGAGTTGTTCATGTTTAACCTTTTATCTATCTTAAACCAAACCCATCTGAAATTGTTTTTCCTAAACAAAAGCTATCATTCTCAAACATAAATTACTTGAATTTAAGAAGTATCATGATTCATGATCACATCAAAATTCAAACACAATAGAAGAAAATCATAAACATAAAAATCCATGACGAAGTAATGATCATTTTCCAATTTTGCCTTTTTCCATCAAAAACTAATCTTTTTCGTTAGGGAGCCCCGATTAATCTTTGTGATAAAAAAAAATGGCATTTTGATAAATAAATCAACAACTTTATCCAACAACCATTATTACGGGTCCACTATTAAGAAAAAAAGTTCTTTAAAAATGTCATTTTATAAACAAAAATTATTAATCTCAATAATCAACTTTTGTATTTCCTCCTTTTTTTTTTTTTTTTTTTTTCTTATGAAAATTAAAAAATATTTTTTTTAGGTTTATCATTTTCCTTTTGTTTTATTAAAAAAAAAAAATCAGAGACCACGGGAAAGAAATCGACAAAGATAGCCACCCTCTCTCCTCTCATTTCCTTTACCTTTATCAAATACAAAAATACCCTGTTTTCGTTCTCAGAAAATCTCCCCTCCCCAAAAATCCCATCCATAAATTCCCCTTCTCCTTCTCCACTCTCTCTCCTCCTTCATCTTCTTCCTCCTTCACCCTCTTCATCTTTCTCTCTCCTCCATCTTCTTCTTCTTTCTCTCTCCTCCAAAAATGTCAGGAAGCGGCGTTGTCACCGTCTATGGAAACGGCGCAATCACCGAAACCTCCACCAACAAAAAATCCCCCTTCTCCGTCAAAGTCGGCCTCGCCCAAATGCTCCGCGGCGGCGTCATCATGGACGTCGTCAACGCCGAACAAGCCCGCATCGCCGAAGAAGCCGGCGCTTGCGCCGTCATGGCCCTCGAACGCGTCCCCGCCGATATCCGCGCTCAAGGCGGCGTCGCCCGTATGTCCGACCCCCAACTCATCAAGGACATCAAACGGGCCGTCACCATTCCCGTTATGGCTAAGGCCCGAATTGGCCATTTCGTCGAAGCCCAGATTCTTGAATCAATTGGTGTTGATTATGTCGATGAATCCGAGGTTCTAACCCTAGCTGATGATGAGAATCATATCAACAAGCATAATTTCCAGATCCCTTTTGTTTGTGGTTGCCGGAATCTGGGTGAAGCTCTTCGCCGGATTCGAGAAGGTGCGGCGATGATTCGGACCAAGGGTGAGGCGGGTACTGGGAACATTATCGAGGCGGTGAGACATGTTAGGTCTGTAATGGGTGATATTCGAGTTCTGCGAAACATGGATGATGATGAGGTGTTTACTTTTGCTAAGAAGATTAGTGCACCGTATGATCTAGTGATGCAGACGAAGCAGCTTGGGAGGCTTCCGGTTGTGCATTTTGCTGCGGGTGGTGTTGCGACACCGGCCGATGCGGCGTTGATGATGCAGCTTGGGTGTGATGGTGTGTTTGTTGGGTCTGGAGTGTTTAAGAGTGGTGACCCGGCGAGGCGGGCGAGGGCGATTGTGCAGGCTGTCACTCATTACAGTGATCCGGAGATGTTGGCCGAGATCAGTTGTGGGTTGGGTGAAGCAATGGTTGGGATTAATTTGAATGATGATAAGGTTGAGAGGTATGCTGCTCGTTCTGAGTGAATCAATCATTGAATCAATGTTACAATTATAAAGAAACAATAATTTCAAGGCAGAGTTTATGTTTTGGTTTTTTTTATTAAGTTTTTAGTGATTAGTTTTATGTTGTTTTTGGATTTGGAATTCATATAGTAGTTTACAATTGAAAAGGAATGATAAAAACCTTATGATGCTATTCAACATTTTCTAATGAAATGAATTGGTTTTTATATTGGTTTTCCTGATTCAATTCTTTATTTTATATTGTTTCTTGCTTAATTATATTATATTAACCATGTAACTGTAGAAAAGTTTGTTAATTTCTGATGTTTTTGTTGATATACTCTTCTTGAATGTCCTGTGATGTTTTGGGATGGTTTCAGTCGTTCATGTTTATTTATTAGAAGAATAGACAATAAAACATTGGATTATACGGATTACGAAGTTGTGTTTAAATTCTTAGAATTAATTGATTCAATGTTATGTGGTTACAAGTATATTGTCCTCAGATTAACTCTATCAGAAGAATTGGTTTATTAAGTGATGAATAGGTTAGATGTTGTCATTTTAATAAATTGGTTAACATCTCTAGCTATGTGGTTATAAGTGTTATGCTTTGCAATTTAGGAGATTTATATCTTCTTTATTTGTGATGGGTTGTTGTTCGGGTTTGTCTTTTCATCCAAGTTGTTTACATGAATGCTTATAAGATGAAGATGACTGGTCAATATGGTTTGTTTTCTGCCCTTTAGTCATTTACAATGTATCATCTTCCAAAGAAGCATCACCCCCCACCCCACCTCCAATCCAATGTCTTGGTTAGTTGAGGACTGATGGTATCGAGTAGTAATCTACGATCTAGTTTGTAATCCTTCCTGGTACCAGGTGTTTTGCTGTTGTCCGGTGCTATATAGTCGTTAATGCAAAGCACCCAATTC